CACGTGGCGAATGGCGTCATCGGGATTACCCAGCGGGGGTAAGCTAGTCAACCGCCTGAGCGCGACATTCACCACAACCGCCCAAAACATGGAGACTGGAGAGCTAGCTGCTGGCGATGAATTCGTACTCGTAGTGCTGTTTGTACATGTACACTCGTCTTTCATAATTGCTGCGACACTTGTCTGAAAGAGAAGAGAGGCATAGTACAGCACGCCTTTTCGCAACAGATCAACAACACATCGCACCAGAAAGCGAACAGATGCTCCTTGCGCTATCGATCTGATTGGTTGAGCGAATAATGTGTAACAGCGTTTTGGTTCTTGTACTAGCTGGACATGCGCAGTTCTTTTGAACGCAATCCTTCTCTTCAAAGTAGTTTGTCTTTATGTTGAGCATTCCAAGCAATTGACGACGCGCCTGTTGCACAGCCAGATCATCGCAGCTTTGCAAGCATACATAAAATCTTCGTGCTTCCACGCGCCTCGCCATCGTCTCAGCTCAATGCCTCTTCCAGGCATTCGGTGTCGCTTACACTTCAGCCGAGCTGACATGTGGAGATTATCAGTCCCAGTCCAGATCCTCGTCTTCTTGCTGCTGAGCCCTGGCGTTCTGCAATCTCCGCCTCTCATCCTCTTCGTTGACCTTGTTTCTCGCAAGAACGTTTGCACGAATCAAACGCGCCTCCAGATCGCGGGTGGTGAAGCTTTGCTCAGTGTGGCCGAGTCCCTCAAAGCCAATAATGCGGTCAGCTCCGATACCATCGATGAAAGCAATGACGCAGGGCAGAACTTGGACTCCTAGGCGTGTGACTAGAAAAGGGCAGTTCTCCACATTGATCTTGAGGAAGCGGGCCTCGTAGTGAGATAATGCAAGTGACTGGATCGTTGTTAGACAATGCCTTTTGTAGCAGTGTTCGTTCTTACCTCGAGATGTGTGTCCATAATACGACACCGGTTGAAGTCGGGCTTGAAAAAGTGAACAACACACAATTGCGTGCTTGTGGTGATATCCATCAACGCCTTCTCATCCTTAATCTCCGTGTATCTGCCATGCTCGTTCTCTTTCAGCCGCCGTGCCTTGTCATACTCGTGATGTAATTGCTGGAGTCGTTGCTCGCGGAAAGCATCTAATTCCTCGTCGTCTTCCAGAGACGCAATAAGCGCATCTTCGTCTGAGTCGTCGTCGCGCGCAGCACGATCAACGAGGGAGGCGACTTTGGGATCTAAGGCGGACATTTTTCTGGTTTTGTCTGGGGTCGCTTGTCGAAGGATCAGGGGAAAGAGTACAGGACTCGATAAGGAAAGTCACGTGGCGATAGGCTGCCGGAACGAACAACGCGCGTTTACATACGCTGCTCGGTAGCGTGCGTGAAATGTCCTGACCGTCTAGAGCTTACGCTACGCGCTGCAGTGAGGGCTAGCAGTGAAAAATAGAACACAGCTCGTTAAGGCGGCAGGGTGGTGCTGACAGGAAGTTGCTCGTATTCAAAGGCGGCCTAGCGGCGTGTGAAATTACCACTACCAACAGCAGAGCAACTCCAGGCCAGGGGAGAGGCAGCGCTGAGACCCACCCACTTCGCGTCCCTGCGCATCTCTCTTGCGACGCCCGTCTCCTTCCTTCTGGTCCCACACTCCTGTCTTTTCTTCTTCACTCGACCGCCCCTCCTTCCACGTCGCACATACGCCGCCACACACCTGTCCTCTCCCCGGACATTCCCGTCTCGCTGCCGCATACCACAACTCTCCACACGCGAGCGTATAGACCCCCTCTCCACCACCATGTCCGACGACAAGAAGAGCGACGACTACAGGGTCGATATGCCCTCCGGCAAGGAGTTCCGCGCGGCGTCGCCGCCTACTCGATCAGCGGGCTCAAGCCGCGCGGGAGGTGTAGCCATCACAGAGAACCCAATCGCTGCGGTTCTGGCATACTGTGGATCTTCCATTATGATGACCGTTACGAACAAATACGTCCTTTCTGGCGTAGACTTCAACCTCAACTTTTTCCTACTCTGCGTACAGGTATGATGATTCCCCCAAGCAGCAGACCGCCATTCTAACGCATTGCAGTCTGTCGTCTGTGTAGCAGCCATTTCGATATGTAAAGCCCTTGGTATCATCAACTACCGCGACTTCAACAGCGACGAGGCAAAGAAGTGTAGGTCCAATCTACCATCGAGAGTACGGAAAATTGCTAACGTCGTCAGGGTTCCCCATCTCCGTCCTCCTCATCGGCATGATCTACACCTCTACCTGGGCGCTCAAGTACCTTTCGATTCCCGTCTACACCATTTTCAAGAACCTGACCATCATCCTGATCGCATACGGAGAGGTGCTCTGGTTCGGCGGTGCAGTTACACCAATGGCACTCTTTTCTTTCGGACTGATGGTCCTCAGTTCCGTCATTGCGGCCTGGGCAGACATCCAGCACGCTTTGTCGAGCATGGGTCACGCTGCAGAGAAGACCACTGAGGCCATGTCGACTCTGCACGCCGGATACCTCTGGATGATGTTCAACTGCTTTTGCTCGGCAACCTACGTTCTGTGCATGCGCAAGCGCATCAAGCTTACCAACTTCAAGGACTTTGACAGTAAGTTTATCGAGCCCAAAGACAATACGATCAAGTGCTAATTTCAACCAGCCATGTACTACAACAACCTCCTCACCATCCCGATCCTGCTCGTCGCCTCCATCCTCGTCGAAGACTGGTCCTCCGCCAACGTCGCAAAGAACTTCCCCGTCGAACAGCGCAACACCGTCATCATGGTCATGATCATCTCCGGTCTTTCCACAGTCTTCATCTCCTACACATCCGCCTGGGCCGTCCGTGTCACCTCTTCGACAACCTACTCCATGGTCGGTGCTCTGAACAAGCTGCCCATCGCGCTCAGCGGTCTCGTATTCTTCGATGCGCCCGTCACCTTCGGCAGCTGCTCCGCCATCTTCGTCGGTTTCGTCAGTGGTCTCGTCTACGCCCTCGCCAAGGTCCGCCAAAACAGCAAGCCCAAGACTGTCCTTCCTACAACCAACATCCCGCTCAGCGCTAGCAGCCGCAGTATGCAGGATAGCCTGAAGTCATAGGAGCATGGTCGCAGCCCAAATTTTCAACGACAACAACGGGCATGAAGGCAAATGACTCTCGTTCCTGTGTTTCTCCATGGCATTGTCGCATTGTATTGTATACGAACGAATGTCCTTTTTCTTTCACTTCGCCTTTGGGTCCCTAGGGAGGTTCTCTTTCTCAAGGTCAACTTTTTTGTACCTCTCATGCCTTGGAGCATCTTACCCATACTATTCAGAGTCTTAGAACGAGTTTGGCGTTTTCGGATCGAAGCAGTGCGGATCCTGCGGTCCGGCTGGGGTGGTGGAGTATGTGGAGCGAATGGATGTACTAGCATTTTGTTCAACTACCTTTTATATTTTCGAGTTGCCCTTAATCATTGCCTGTTGTTCTTTTTACATCCAAGATCATTTTAACCGGAAACAAAGTCTTGTTCTTACACGTCTCGTACTCTTCCTCCACCCCCGATCTCGATCTTGACTTCCACCTCCCCTCGCTCATTAAACACAAACCTTCCTTGCTCCACAACCTGACTAACAAGAGCGCACCCGGGTTCCAGCCACGCGCCCCTCATCTTGACCCACGCCTTAACCCTTCCACTCACACTCCACTCCGCCTCTGGCACAAGCTGCGTAACAACATCGCGAAACGGCGTATCGCCTGCTACATTCACCCTCAGGGTTTCATTCCCATGACTACTTCTCATCTGCACGCGCAGCCGCGTAAGCAAGGGTGGTAAGATGAGTATCTCATCTTTACCCAATTTCTGCGCCGCCCTGGGCGTGACTTTGGCATGGAAAGAGCGGAATAATGAGGTTGTGTTTGTCGAGGGGGGTGGAGAGGAGGGAGGAGGTGGAGGTTGGCTATGGTTTCTCTGGCGACGAAACTGGGGTGGGATATTTGCGTGGGGGTCGCCGGATGGCATCATGTAGTATGGGCGTATTTCATCTCGGGAGTCATGTTCGGAGGGGCTGGGGGAGATGTCGGAGTAGTGTGAGGGGCGGCGAGGGAGACGGCGGTGATGTTGAGGGGGTGGGGAGCGGTACTGTGGTTGGGGATGTTGACGCGGCGTATGGCGGTGTTGGCGAGGTGCGTCGTATGTATGTTGAGGGTGGTAAGCAGTCTGGTTTGGGGCTGGATAGCTTGGGTAGACGTATGCAGAGGGCATGGGGGTGCGGCGAGAGTAGTCGCGGCTGAACGGAGATCCAAACATGTTGACGATGGGTAGTTGTGGAGGGATGGAAATGATAGATTGTGATAGTTTGGAGATGAAGAAAGATTGAATGTTTTAATAAGAGAAATGTTATGCTGACATTGGTATACCCTGTGGTTGCCTTGCAAAGCATACAGCTTCCCTTCGCGTCATGTGTGGTTTGAGAGACGGGAGTATACATTCGTGTGACCAAACTCGGAATCGAGATACTCGTGATTGTCGCGCAAGCCGAATCCGCAAACACCACAGCGCGTGTCTGAGCATCATTCAACACACATGCACTCGTGCTATGCGCGTTTGAGCATTGCGCTTTCGCTTCTGTTGAACCAGAGGAGGTAGCTATGCGATATGCGCGAACGCGTCTTGGGTGCAAATCGTGTACCGTTCGATCGGAGAATGCGATGGGCTTTTCTTGTCGCTCACTGGCATCAATTGAGTGTTGCTACATACCGCAAAGGACAAATGAAATCCATGACCTCAACACCGATCCTCTCGCGCCTGACTAAAGAGAGTTAACACCGTATCCTAACATCCTGTACTTCAGCAGAAAGATGAGCTGTCCCCGTCAAGAGGACGGCAGAATGTGTAGTAAAGCCAAACAAAGAGCGTGCTTATCCATACATGTGACAGACGTTTGACCGCTTGTTAGGCCATAGTCGGCTTGCGAAATGGTCCGTCTTGCCACGATGATGGCGCGTGCGCGTACTGCCCAGAGAACCAGCCACCTATACCTCGCCAGCCTTTGCGGCACCGCCCTTCTTCTTTTGCTCCACCTTGAGTAGCAATGCGCGGTTGATGTGCGGCAAAACACCTCCGAAGGCAATGGTAGCACGGATGAGTGTGTCGAGTTCCTCGTCACCTCTGATGGCGAGCTGGAGATGGCGTGGCGTGATGCGCTTGACCTTCAAGTCCTTGGCAGCGTTGCCTGCGAGTTCGAGAACTTCGGCGGTCAGGTATTCGAGAACGGCGGTCAGGTAGATGCTGGCTTTGGCGCCGATGCGCGTCTTCTGTCGCGTGAGGTTTCGGAGATGGCGCTTTATGCGACCGCAAGGGAACTGTGGTGAAGATGGCACGTTAGCGCGTGGTTTCTTTGTGCTGCACGCGAAGCATTGCGCGGGGTGCAATGGTGATGACGCGTATTGGGCAGCTACTCACTTGAAGGCCGGCTTTGGCGGAGTGCGACTTGGGAGTCTTGACTTGCGCATCGCCCTTTCCTCCTGTCTTGCCACCTGTCTTTCCTGCGCATCCTGTTAGCTCTCGAGGCCTTTCGGAGCGCGACGCAAAGTCAGCGCGTACCTTTACCACCGCCAGCCATCTCGGGTGATTTATTTGGGCTAAATGTCGGTGTCGATGGAATCAATAAAGATGCGCGACCGTGATGCCGGGGGTTCGAAGCGGATTCGAGGTGGTGGTGTTTGGCGAGAGGTGGGGTGAATGTGGTCAGGTCTTGCTGGGAAGAGGTTCTACTGTTGTGACAAGGTTACGTTCTTGTACCAATCGGGAAGGCTCCACTTGGCATGTACAAGGTAAGGCACCATTCCAGTCCCCGACCGTGCGACGGCATGCATGAAGATCGTCGGTAATACTGTGAGATACTAGTTACTCTGATCTAATGATTTTGTCGCATTTTCGATGCCTCATGGAATGCTGGACGGTAAGGTGGTGGGGGCGGGTGCACCAGACGTAGCTTTGTCGTTGCCACCCAACGAGGGTGCCGAGGAATAGTTGCCGAGTATGATGTCTGAGTGACTGATGCTTGAACCTAAGAGTGAGATATGATGGAAATTGAATATATTACCGTTCTTGGCCGCCTAGTCAACGGTCGTGCGCTCAAACAAAGCGGCGGCTTTTCGACCACAAGATCTGGAAGTGACAGTATGTACGATAATACAGGATGTGGAGAATGCTTGGGAGATATTAAATCTGTGATAAACATCAGTAAAATGTCGCAGAATCCGAAGTGTGATCAGGAAGCACGGCGCTATGCGGGGCGGCAGTGATTTGTTATGGCTCTGAGATAACCATCTAACCAACCAATGGCCTGACCAGAGTGTACACGATTCGCTCGAATACTTGAAAAGGATGATCTGTCAGGCGATACGGGCTCGGTCGACTGGCAGCAAGTGGTATTGCAGACAGGATTGGGAGACAGTGACGTAGCAAGAGTGAAGACGGAGAAGATGACGGTTGAGAAGACAAGACGGGGGAATTACTTACAGTGGAGGTATCATAAGCCAGATCACTACCCAGTGGCTGCTCGTCAGTACTGATGGTAAGTTTGATGGGAATATGAGCTCATCGCTTGTACGTATGGCTTCCAAGGTTGGAAGCGATATGAAATTCCAGCCCACCTCTGCGCGAAGGCTGTAAGTCTGAGTCCGATCCCAAGATACTGTTGTCAGTATGGGTAAGCGTAAGATAGTTCCGAGTGTGCACAGCAAAAGTGGTTGGAGTAGCAAAGTGATAAACAGTTGCTCACTGCTCCCGCATCCAGTCGTGATGGCCCGTGCGTCAAGGTCCCGCCCTAGCGCTACGTCTGCATGGCTCCCTCCCCTGTGCGACAACATGTGTAGATGCTGCCGCAGCCGTGACGAGACCAGCTACTGCGCGTGCGCATAATCTCCACTGCCCGTCTTTTTACAGCCTCAATCACTATCCGCGTCTCTGCCTCTGTCCGGTGCCCCAGGGTCCGAGCTCTGGAGCCAGATTCCGACACGTCGACCGCGCTGTTGCCGACCCCCGACGCCGCATGCCAACCCGCACTGCACGCTCTCTACGCACCAACGATCGCTGCGACGACGCTCTAGCATACCTCTGTCATGGCCTGGCAGTCGCCCTCGGCCATGAACGGCGGCGGTGCCAACGGAGGGGGTGACGGCAATGCGCCCGCCGGCACAGAGTACACATTGCAGGGTATGCGCTTCCCCTGGACATGCCGTAGAGCTGGCGGGGAGACTGGCAGGCTGACCCCCTCACAGGTGTGATGCGATTTCTACAGCTGGAATGGCACAACCACGAGCGTGCACGGAATGCCTGGGACATCGAGCGCGCCGAGATGAAGGCCAAGATTGCAAAACAGGAGGGCGAGGTGCGGAGTGCGAAGAAGCTCAACGACCAGCTGAACAAGCACATTCGCATGCTGGAACAGGCCCTCACCAACGAGAGGAAGAAGAAGAGCGAGGCAGCAGGAGGTGACGCCGAGGCCACAACAGACGACAAGAATGACCCCAAGGGCAAGAAGAGTGGCAGGAACTCGACGAAGCGTGCGTATACTTTACTGCCAGATCACACTTCGGACGCTTACTAACCTGGCGAAGCTCAAAATAAGAAACACAACTCCTTCCTCGACGTTGACTCGGAGTTCCTCGACCGTGCAGAGGCCGACCGCGAGAATCTACGAGAGAAGTCGAAGCTCTACCTCACGAAATGCGTCGAAGAGATCACGTACCTCCTTACACCACCCCCGCAAGCCCCGCAACAACAGCAGAACATGCAGCCGCTCGCAAACGGCAACGGCTACATGAACCATGGCGAGGCCTCGATGGAAGATATCTACCTCCAGCAACATCGCCAGAGGCTGCAGTCGCAACTTCCAACCATGCCAGGCACATCGATGCCTACCCACCAGCCTCCCAACGTACCAGTCCCGTCCGAACTACAGAGCTTGGCCAACCAGCATCAGATCCACCACGCACCGCAGATGGCACGAGAGCCTTCACAGCAACAACCGCTTCCGTCCAACGCTGCCATGGCTCAAGAGCTTCTCGCTGGACATCAACGCCAGGTCCAGAACCAGCAGCACTTCTCCTCGGTGCCCGAAGAGCAGGTTGAAAAGGTCACTCATGCTTTCGACAACGAAGGCCGTCAAATACCGATACGTGGAGATGACGCCTCGGATGCAAGCCAGGCTGCCAACCAAGACAAGGATACAGATGATTGGATCTTCGACCCTGCATCGGAGACAGCTCAGGATGGCCCACCAAGGCGGCCAGACACCGAGGAGTTTCCATCAGCGGATAGCATCCCAGCAAAATCACCACCACGACCAGTCAAGAGGGCCAGCAAAGACCATGTTAGGCGATTGAGCAACGACCAGAAAGCACAGCAAGCCGTAGCTCAGTCAGCAGCAAAGAACGACCCGCAAAGTTTCAAAGTTCGATTCGCACTCCGTGGTCACCTTGATGTCGTGCGGTCAGTTATTTTCACCGGGGGTGGCAGTCCCAGTGAACCCGAGATCTGTACCGCAGGAGACGATGGCATGATCAAGAGATGGATGATTCCCGCAAGTTACGCAAACCAGCACAGCATGAACAATGATCTCGACATCCAGCCGTTCTGGTCACATCGAGGACATGAAGGCACTGTGACATCATTGGCAGCCTGCCCCGCTTCTGCTCATTTCGCTACGGGCGGAAGAGTCTCTGGCGATGGCTGGATATTCTCTGGTGGTCAAGACGCTACGATCCGTGTATGGGAACGAGGCCGGGTTGATCCCAAGGCCACCCTGGAAGGACACACAGATGCTGTCTGGACTGTATGCGTTCTTCCGACCAACTGTGCTAATCTCTTCGGCGCGGACAGTAGCAAGTACGGAGGACCGGACCGCGTCATACTTGCTTCTGGGTCTGCTGACGGCACTATCAAGATCTGGGCTGTAAGTGCACCGCCTCAGCTGGTCTCACCGCAGACGGGATCTCGACGTGGTGTTGGTGGTAGCCGAAGACATTCCGTCACATCTGGCTCGCATCACCCATCGTCGCCGCAGCCCAGCATTGCTACTACGACACCATTCCATCACACGTTGATACATACTATCGAGCGCGACACGCATCCTTCACCTACTTGTATCAGCCCGCTGTCACCCACTGGAGAGAACTTTGTTGTCTCGTTCTCCGACGCATCTATATTGGTTTACGACACGAGGACCGGTGAGGAATTGATTGGTATGGCTAGCAATGAGTCATATGACGGCACTCCAGCGACTGGTATTACATCAGTCGTGACAAGTTCCCAATACCTTGAAGGCTCGTCACAAGAGGCGGGTCGCGGTGGTCCTGACGAGGAAGGTATACACGGCCCGACGGGATCTGCCAATGGCGGTCTCGAAGGGGTTGTAATCAGTGGGCACGAAGACCATCTCATCCGGTTCTTCGATGCCAACTCAGGTACGTTTTGCAATATCAAGAAATACATCCTCGCTAATCAAGAACAGGACAATGTACATACAGTATGCTTGCACACCCTGCAGCTATTTCTTCGTTGTCGCTCAGCAAAGACGGCCGGGAAGCCGTCTCCGCTGGCCACGACGCTTCCATTCGTTTTTGGTCCCTTGACAAGCGCATCTGCACACAGGAGATCACCGCGCATCGTATCATGCGTGGCGAAGGTGTGTGCAGCGTAGTTTGGAGTCAGGACGGTCGCCTTGTCGTCTCAGCAGGTGGCGACGGCATAGTGAAGGTATTTGCAAGGTAGTATCCTGCAGAGCCACCAACTACGACTTCTCCTCGCATTTCTGAGCCTCCGTTTCGCATGAACTATTGGCATTTTTAGCTGGACATACCCCTGGATTTTGATCGAAATGGGAAAGGGAAAGCATGATTGATGGGTATTCTGATGGTGGGATGGTAATTTTTCGTTACTTCTCAACGCGCCTTTGGTAGACAGGCATTCGCTGGCGCCGTGTGTTATGTTGACTCCGCTGCCTTGTATTATACAATTGGGATGATCGAGCTCAGCGGGAGACACGCAAGAGCCAGCAAGTCAGTAATCCGACTTTCTCTAAAATCTGGCGGCGTGATCATGTGCGCTCTGCCTGAACGCATGACCTGAGTCCAATGCCTACCTAGTAGACACTGTAATGTAGCCGTGACGTATTGATGTCCTGGCCGCGGGGGATCTGTGCACAGAGGGCCCCCGTATTCTGGGCAGGCGCGAACATGGATGCCTAAGCTGAGCTCTGAGCTGAAGCACGCTTCTTTCGACCCCCACCATTTGCGATCGCTTGGAATGCTGCGTCTTCTCTTTCGCGCGCGTTGATTGTTTACCCTGGTGTCATTAGACACGCGTGGACATGTCTGGTATAATCGGTGCTGTATGTTCCTGCCATTTCTAAGCGCGTCAACAGGCTCCGAGAAACTTCCCAGGTTTATGGTACCAAGCTAATGCACCTACTACCACCATAGCTCGTCGCTCTGCCCCAAAGCATCCAGTCTGCAAAAGAACTTTACGACTTGCGCCTCAAGTACAAAGATGCCTCGGTTCTCATTACCGCGATATACTCCGAGTCCATGGTCATTGCAGCGTCATTGTCCCAAGTCCAAAGCCTCCTACAACATGACGCGCTACGGGAGAAGCCCCAGCTGCTCGAGACCTTCGATCGTGCGCTTACGGGGTGTCGAGTTGTATACGGGTGCCTAGAAGAGGAGGTACGGGACTTGAGAGTGAAGGCGGAGAACGACAACCTGAAGTTCAAAGACAAAGCGAAGTTTGTGTTCAAGGAAGAGACCTTCAAAGAGCTGCTCACCCAGATCCGTGGCCAGCAGTCAGCGCTCAGTTTGCTGATACAAGGATTGCAGATGGAGTCAATTGCGGATATCAAGAAGCTGGTTGAGGATAATAGTGTGACACTCGATCAGGTTGTAAAGCGGTCGAGGACTCTACGGCAGTCGCACCCGAGACTGAAGGTACCGGAGTCGTTGTTCGATCGGAAAGGTCTCAGTGACAACGAGGCCGATGTAGAGTCCATTGCGAAAGCTACGGAGTTTACTTTCGATGATGAGGTCGTCAACTCGAAAGCGTATCGTAGGGCTATGGCAATAGCTATGTCTACTTCACGCCATGAGATCGATGCGTCTGAGGAAACAGGTACTGTTGTACCAGAAGACAGTTCGATTGCTCTCGAGACGACGCCTCCCAGTGTACTGAAGTCGGAAACAGAAAGAGAACTATCCCCTCAGGCCACAACGACAAATGAACACGCAGATTTGTTCGATACCCTTGAGCGCGACATACTCTCCTTTATGCCGCAAACCTCGTCCACGACACTTTGCTTGACTCCCAACCACACAGGGCCTAAGAGCCCCTCTTCGCTACCGAATGATCCTTATGGCTCATTGACTCCGGCGCCACTGCGATCGTTTAGTGGAGACAGCGGAACGGGAGTTCCAGAAGCTGCGCCTCCGTTGCCTCCTCGCCGCCCAAGTGAGCAGCATGTCGCAACGCCCCAAATGCGCTCAGTATCTTCTGATGATAGCATGTTTTCCTCCATCGCACCATCGATTTTATCAAAAGCGTCCACGGGATCGTCTTACACCGTGTACGAAACTCCACCGTTAAGTCCTAATTCGACCGGCATACCTTCGCGAAAGCCCCTGCCCTTCATGCATAAGCCATCTTACAACGCTCAAGGTAACGCCGCGCGTGGTATGGACGAAGTTGCAGCAGCTGGGGCATCGTTGCCCCTGTACAATGTCGAAATGCACAGTATCTGGATGTCGCTGGCCGAAGCCGAGAGGAAGTTTATTGACCGCATAATGAGACTGAAGCGAATGTTCTACGATAACATCGTAAAGCAATGGCCAGTCCTTGAGAAGCATATGGATGCCATCCTTATCGGCGAGCAACTTGCGACACTTCATCAGCAGTATCTGCTCCAGGCGATGGACCGTGATCTCGCTGGCAGTACTAACGCCCTCTGCAATCCATACATGATTGATATTTGGGTAGATAAGAGTCAACAATTGTATCGAGAATACTGTCGCAAGATGCCGCATGCGGCTTCCTCACTACGAACGACACAGAACTTGGACCCGAAATTCACACCTTTTGTCAACACACTTGGTCTGAGTATCGCTTATTTTGGCAAGAGCTGGCAAGATTATTTGGAGCTTCCTCAGGTACAGATGCAGAGTTATATCGACAGTCTGCAGAGGCTTGTCAGCATCGCGGACTCCCTCAATGACCCGACAGCAAACCAGGAGGCTATGCGTTTACGACGTGCTCTACAGGCCGTCACTTGGCTGAAAACATCCATCTCAACCTTACTAGATGAAGCTCAGGCTCGTGAAGATGTACAGAATCTCCAGAGGCGTATCCGCACAGATGCACTAACGTTTGCGCAACTACGCCTGCATGAGCCGGCCCGTCGCGTTATTCACCAAGGCGGTATGGCAATGAAGTTCAAGAGCCAGGGACCTTGGGTTCCAGTACACGCCATGTTGCTCGACAACTACTTCATATGGGGTAAAGCTAAGAAGAGCAAAGGGGATGAGGTTCTCATAACGGACCCACCTATCGCGGTCGCCGACATGGATCTGTCCCTTCCCACAGACGCATACCAGTTTCAGAAGGCTACCATGCTCGACCAGATAGCAAGGGGCTCAGTCGTGTAAGTCTGGTGTCTACCCATGACGTTGCTGAGCTGACTGATCACTAGATACATCATCACAATCAACAACAAAGCCCAGCCAGGCAAACCCAGTCTGCTAGGCCTGTACGGCTTCCCGGAAAGGAGAGACTGGTTTGACCATTTCACTGCAGCTGGGACTAAGTTCCAGAGGTGAATTACGTCGTTGTTCTGGGCTCTCAGATACTTGGTCATGGCTCAGGGCCGTTCGCGGCCATTGAGGGGATAGACCTCATGATCGATCCGCTGTCGGTAAGGGTCACTGTCGCCGGTGCACGTACAGAGTGGTATAGGATAACAAGTCCGACCTACGCCTGCCTGTTGATCAGCAGGCTCACTCGAGGGTTGAGTTGTCGTGCCGACCCCGCTCACTTAGGCAATATCCCGCGGACTCTCGACGTGAGTCACTGTCGCTGGTGCATGCACAGAGTGGTATAGTCGAACAAACCTGACACAGGCTTTATCTGGTGACCAGAAGACTCCCCCGAGGGCGTAGCCGTTCGTACTGACCCCGCACACAGGGGCAATACTGAACGGACTCTCGACGAGCTACAGCACTCAGTTCTGGCGCTTCACTACACCGTACACGACAACCACTGTGCCTTATAAGCCGTGCTCCAACCGTCCCCCGCCACACACACCTGGCGCCCTTTCTGGCTAGATACACCAATTGCGAACATGTCAGATATGCAAGAAGACGAGCCTATTGACGCGCGCCATCCTCCTATCCCGGACGGGCTCTCTCCAGATAGCGTCGTCGGAATCGTCACAGTTCACCACCCCAAAGCTTTCCATGCAAATCACAACACAGCCTATAGGAAGTCGCGTTTGAGGTCTCCACGAGCCGGCGGCGAGTGGTCCTTAGACGGCTGCCATGTCTTTCTTCATCTCGTCCAAGGTCAACCCTGCTACACCATAGGCCTGTCCAACCTCGAGAGCCCGAAGCCTCCGGCTTGCGATGTGTACCTCCCTGACGATGGGGCCGACCTGCTTCTGTTCGGAATCGTACCGGTTTGGAAGAACGGCAGCTGGCGATTGCAGTCCGCTTCTGAGACTATCACGGAGGTGAACGGTGCGCCCATCCAATTCAGCGATCCGCATGCACAAAACCAGTTTCCGCAAGCGATCTATCTGCGGCAGAACTTAGTCAACCACATCTTCGTCAACGGCTTGCGAGTCGACATCTTCATGTTAAAAGCAATACGAGAACTCTACGCGATGGAAACAGCATTCTTGCCGTCAGAGCTGCATCCCCACCTACAGGACGTCACTCGTCGTCCCGAAGCTTGGGCGCGAAATCGCTATCTGCCGCTCTCTGAACAAGTCTCCGCGAACACCTGCCGAGTTCTCGAGCGCTTCACAAGCAAGATCGAGACAGCGAAATTCTTCCGCCGTGCGGGAAACCGCCGCGAACTTCGGGATGCTGAGTTTCTCAAGTTCGGCAAGGCTAAAGCCGATGTATCTGTCGTTCGTTACTTGCAGTCACTCGACATCAACCACATCCCCGCTGTTATTACCGAGACGCATGAGGGCTTCAAGACATACGCGGCTTTCGAAGAGGATTTCAAGAAGCAACATCCGCGCGTGGGCTTCACAATCGCCTCGAAGCTCCTGCGACGACTGTTCTCAGCCCTCGCCTTCCTGCATTTCCACAAGATCGTTCACGGAAACGTTACCAAAGAGGGTGTCTTGCTTCGCCTAGGGGACTACAAGCCTGAAGCTGTGCTCTTAGTCGACTATACGAGGGCAACGTCGTTCCCTGCTGGCATGCCTGAACCTCTGGAGAAGATGATCGAGGACGGTCGCACCGCGATGGAGATTGTCGAGAGCTGCTGCGATATCTGGCAACTGCGGAAGGCACCACCGAAAGATGCCTTCGGCGAAGCCTTCATGGCGAAGAAGACCGAGGTTGCTCGCCAAGAATCCGCTCTCATGGAGCGCGTCGTCGCCGACTTCTTCGGACCGAAAGGCGAGTCGCGAGAGTCTGAAAAGGGCAAGAAGATGCTCGACTTGGCGCAAGAGAAGCAAGACGCCTGGCATTCTGCTCGAAATGCTCAGACCCACAATGCAGCCCGCCGTGAGGTGGGGCTATGCCGCTCTGATATGATCAAAGAGATGGAGCATGACTGGTCGCTCCTGCATCCATTTCCAAAGATCGGCGAAGAGCAGCATATGATATTGACTCTGGGGCATCCATACCTAGACGGCCTGGCTACGAAACTCTACCACAATCAATGGGACCTGCCGCCGCGGGATGTGTGCACCAAGATCCAACAACTTGCCGGCGAGGTGGAAGAACCCTGGCAGACCTTCGCAGTCAAGCGAACAGTGCCATTGACCCAGGTCGAGGGTGGCTTCGAAGAGCGTTGCTTCCTGCACTGGCTAGCGAGCTGTTGCGAAGCCTACCCAGAGTGGCGTCACGCGATTGTTGAGGAATACGAGCGCCTCGTCGCACCCCAGCACGGAGTGATTGTCTTTGCAGATATCAAGAAGCTTCGAGGTGCTCTTGCGGGTCTAGGTACCATGCCGGAGGTCCTACACGCCACATTCACGCGTTTGACCAGTGAGATCAAGACCCAGCCTACTACACACATCGAAGAGGTGCACAAGATCTGGTATCACCGGCCTTCACGAATGTTCAATCTGACCCAACTACATCGCCTGGCAACTCCTGGCCGCCTTGTCGCCTGCATCAATGAGGGCGACACAGATTGTCATGACTGGGTAGAGGTACGCGGAGAGCCCAAGCTAGAGGGTCATTACACCACCCTGTCCTTGTTGTCGGACTTTGCAAAGCAACTAGGACTGATAGCCGAGGCCTATAATCACACGCAAGACTTCCCCCCATATGATTTAGCAGACTTCAGCCGGGTTATACAGCGCGTCGTCCTTGCTCACACTGGCCTTCTTCCCTGGGCATCTGTCACTCGCAAGGGCGCCCAATTCAACTTCCATGCACCCGAGATTGCCCACGACTACGAGAGTGCCGGGGCGTTTCTATCTACTTACTTTGGTGGTATGAAGATGTTGCCTACGATGCCACAAGGTAGTGAATTCTATGAGCGCTCTGGTCACTGGTCAAACTTCAAAACTGGAAAGGAAATCGATGAGGCAATGGAAGTGGACAAGCGACCCATTCTGCCTGCGAAGGGTCAGTCGAAAAAGTCGACATCGCAGTCGATGAAGTCGCTTCAGGTTTTGTCGCCGCATGTTGATCGTGCTCGCCTCTCTCAGACGCTGGAGACTCGCAAGCGTGCTCGTGCTAGGGCTCGACCTCTAGGTAAACGCGATGCAGACAACGAAGTGTCAGACACAAACATGCAGGCCGCGAAGCGTTCACATCTTCTTCCCAGTAGCCAAGACTCCCATCAGCCCAATGCACCATCAGCGGAGGAGCCCCGGCCTACAATCTCGTTGACGGACTGTGATCTGGACAAAACCATTGCCAATTTGGAACGCCAATTTTCATCTAATGAACCGCTCCCTCAAATCTCACACGTGCCAGACACGTCGTTCTTCACACGAAACAACGGAGTAAACACCAACGTCCTTTCCAGCCCGCCTGCTATCTCAGCAATTGAACAAGGAACATTCACTGTCGTATCCAACGACGAAGCCGACCTGGACGACGACTACAAGCAAGCAGAGGAGTGGCTGAAGCACATGGAGGAAGACGATGCGCCTCGAGATTCCGGTATCTTCGGTCTCAATTTCCACCACACCTTCCGTGAGCAGGATGATGGACCGGATAACGGAGGAGACGAGTCAGATGATGAAGATGGTGGTGGAGCGACGCTGATTGCTAGTAACAAGGTGAAACAGATCGACTCGCCGGCACCCAAGCTCAAAGATAAGAGCGCGTTTGCAGCCGGCTTGAACGCGATGGCGTCAATGCGAGGTATGAGTAATGCACAGGCAGTGTCGCAGTCCTTTCCCGTGTTCCAATCGGCGCCCAAACAGAGCAGTCCTCCTTTCGCTCGACCAGCTTTCCTGGCTACCCTCCGTGCCGAGTCTGGGGGTCATCGTCGGAACGATATTTCCATTTCGGATCTCGCCAACGTGAGTTTCAGGGTTGATCCTGCTCAGTCGGTTCCTCCGCCACCGGCAATGGGTGTGATGGGTTCTGAGCAATCGCCGCCACCGTCAGCCCAGCCACAGCGTGTTGATGATTCGTTTGCATCTAACGTTTCTGGTCCGAATTGGAGGATGACGGGAGAGTGCAAGGACAGTGAGGAAGAAGATGGAGATCTGAAAGACATTCAACCAGGAGAGCGGCTTAGTCAGGGTGATTCACCAGGCACGCAACCGGGAGAGCCTTCTAGTCAGGATGAGCCGCCAGCGACGGGACCAGGAGTTCACGTCATTCAAGACGAGGATCTGCCAGCCACGCAACCAGGACGAGATAACTCCAGTCAGTACAACGCTCTACAAGACGCACGACCGGGAGAGTCGGCCGTTCTGCATGGACTGCCAGACACCCAACCAGGAGGTCAGTCCAGCAGCGTAGCACAGCATCCCGATCAGGGCGATGATCCATGGAGCCAGCCGCCAGTAGGGTGGGATGGTCGGAGTCCCTACTCGTCGTTCTACCCACCACCATGGAAACGATAGAGTGACAACTGGACAGCAGAGGGAGGACATGGGTACACAAGTTCACGGCAAGAGGATAGCGATTACATGTAGGATATAGAGGTCATAGTTAGCATCATGTGTTCGAGCGGTCACTCGCTACATGTCAATTGGCCTTATGAAGTTACGAAGGAATGGTGGTAGATACCCAGGGTGTAGTGCAATACGATAAACTCCAAGCTTTTTTCTTATGCTATCGTGACGTGTCGCGTGCTCATGACATGCCAGAATAGGTGGTGTTCGAGAGCTCGATCCTGTAGACCCTGACTAGTCAGATATCGATAGGCCTTGTGCGGTTTTGTAGTATTTGTCGTCGTCTGGAGTCATGCGACCAAGGGTGTCGTTGACGAATGGTATAGCGATCGCGCGATGGGTGGGTAGTGCTTGTAGCAACGTTACGGAAGATAGTCTACACAGTTAGCAGCACATCGTTGTACGTTCCGAGCTGTCGCAACAACCCCATCTCGACATCACGCCAATGCACCCAATGACTTTGAACATGTATCATTGATCTTGTCAGGAATCTTGATTGAAAAGTGCCATTGTTATATGGACTTTCAGGACATCAACATTCACACCGTCGCACCCAGCCCGAACAAGTTGCCGTTGTGTATGGGAAAGACTGTGCATGTGTGTCTCCCCAAAGATAACTGAATTGTTCTCGAATCTGACTTCCGTGCCCGGTATAATATTGCGCCTGAGGTGATCCATCAACTACCATTGCCTTATTTTTCGACCGCTTTCATTCCCGTTCTCGCCAAAAAATGCGTGTGTCGGAGAAGCTTATATCGAAGAAGGGTACAGCATGACGCGGACGGAGGCACCGAAGGACTTGGGAGGCAGGTTGTTCTTGAACTTGGCGCGGACGACGCCGGAGTTGCCGTGGGGGCGGGTGACCTTGCCCTGTTGTTTGGGTTAGCTTTTTTGTCTTTTTTGGTGGATTACGGGCGGTGGGATGGGAATTCGTACCCAGATGACACGGATCTTGGAGCCTTGGATCGCCCGTTGTGCGCGGTAGACGTAGGCTACCCTCTTGCCAGCGTCTGTCGTCGGTACGTTAGCTATCAAAATTCGAGCGTCGGGGGGACACGCGGGAGCGCGGAGACGTACACCACTGAGCTGCCTTGACATCGTCGACGCCCTCAAGCTTGAGCAGAGAGGTTCCGGGGTTGGTGTTCCTCTGCGGTCATGGTCAGAAGGGGGAGCGTCAATACGCGAATTCGGTGCGCACAAACCTTGCCGCGCTGGTAGCTGATGTGCTTGCCCTTGACGTAAAGGCGGTGGGACTTGTTGTCGGCAGACATGGCGAATTTTTTGGGCGGCCTCGGGGGGGTGAAGGGGACGTCTGGGTCGGGGTTGATGCTGTCGTTAGTACAGAGAAGTCGTCGTTGCCAAAGAGAAAGACGAATTGCTTCATGTCCAGTGGGGCGTTCTCGCTTACTAGCGCCACACCAGCCACTGCTTGTGTGGCGTAACGCTGCCGTTGCCTCGCCGCAGGCAGTCGCGAAGAACACCAACACTACAATCTTGGAATATGGGGTTTGGGATGAATGAGTCTACCGAGTATCAATTGGGTGTCATGGATGCACATTGAGGTTTTGATAGCAAAGACGCTGCGTTGCACGCAGGTCGGAATATGGATGTGTCTGCACTTCCTCACTGGCATCATCACCATTCTTTGACAGTAGAAGCAGTCAGACGACTGGCAATACCTTTGGACGAAATGCGCTCGAATTCACGTCTTCAACATGGCCACAGTATGTAGGGTCGTGGTGAAGGCACAACTCCTCCCGACGTTCCGCGGCAACGCTTATGCTCGTCCCAGCCCCCTCTTGCTCGTTCGGGCTTTCTCTTGCAGCGGATGTGTAAGCATGGCGGTTCACTATCAGTCTAGCAATCCGTCTGGGCATGTTCCATCGTCTGACTGACCAGCCTTCGCGTGTCGCACGTCGCCCTGAGGACCATGCGTCATCGGTCCGGCCAGGCCAGGTGTGGTTCACTCATCATGTCACGGCCTGGGAGAACCCAAATAGCCAACGGCAAAATTCTCACGTCGCCATCACGTCTCCCGCGCTCACACGTCACGTACAGTCCATTGTTGGGAAGCCAGCACGCCAACATGGCTGCAAGTCTTCCATTGCGACGCGCCCCACCAGGCTGCTAGCTTACCAGTGCTGGCCGCTCGGTATACTCAAAGAGGGGCCGGAGGATTTGACAGACCCAAGTACCAGCCCGCGACACTGAGACGGCCAATGCTTGTGTACACTCTAATAGAATTTACACATCGTCCGGACTCGGGCAACCTCGCAGCGGGGTAGCCGTCCACGAGCTGGGCGTGCCTCGCGCGCTGTGACGGTTGTGAGACGCGACCGCAGTCTTGGGACACACTTATAGAATGAGAAACAAAGTTTAAGAGCCTCAAAGTCTATCCCTTCCCAGCCGAGCGTGGACGAAGCCGTTCCACGCGCAATGCATGGCGATGGTGGGGTTGTCCGCGAATCCCTAGGTACGGCTTTAGCAAGGTCTCCTCCGGCGGGCTTCAAGGGTTTTGACTGGTGCCGGAGAAGCTTTGCAAGACGTGCGGCCGCTTAGTGATGCTTGAGGAATGACCTAGTTGTTTATCGATGCCTTTTTAAAGACGTCAGTCCGCGCCGTGTGTTTCTGTGAAGCATTCCTGTCTGAGACCCTATCACCGGCGTTCGAGCGGCAAATTAAAGCTAACCAACGTCACCACCACGCGAAACCGCTAGAGCAGCTCCGATAACCCCACTACATAGGACTTTTCCTCACACATCCACGTCCTATCCGTAGCTTCCGCCCTTACTTCGAGATCTCTTGCGTTACCCTATTGCCCTCACCCACTGCAGCCCTTAATTGAGCTGTAACCTTGCGCCCGCTCCTCCCCCAAAGCGTTTACATCACACATCAACACAATGGCGGACACAGTTATCCAGCCCAAGCATGAGGAGGTCAATGCCGGGTAGGTCGCCCTCACCGTCGCTGATCGATCTTATACAGCCTTTTACGAGCCGTTTGAATATGTCATCAATTTATCCGGCCGTTGTTTCCTGCTCAAGCGCCTCGCGCTCCTCGGCGGAGGGGTTGGTCGATGCGAGAAACCGATCAAGGCCTTTAGCATTTTGAACACCACAGCTAACCAGATCTCGCGATAGAAACATGGAGCTCAAGGACAACACCATCATCGTTGTTTTGGGCGCCTCCGGTGACCTAGCGAAGAAAAAGACCGTACGTAAAGAAGCAAGCATGCGAGCAAACATCAGACTAACATCATACCAGTTCCCAGCCCTCTTCGGCCTCGTAGGTTGCACGATACAGATCGACATGCGCATTCTCTGACCACCAGCACAGCACCGAAACAATTTCCTCCCAAAGAACATCCACATCGTCGGATATGCACGCACAAAGATGGACCGCGAGGAGTACCTCAAGCGCGTCAAGTCGTACATCAAGACCCCCACAAAAGAACTGGAGAAGCAGTTGGACGAATTCTGCGAGTTCTGCTCGTACGTCTCTGGCCAGTACGACCAGGACGAATCCTTCGTCGGACTTGAGAAGCACATGCAGGAGATCGAAAAGGGCCGCAAGGAGAACAACAGGATATTCTACATGGCTCTCCCTCCTAGCGTCTTCATCACAGTCTCTCAGCACCTGAAGCGCAACTGCTACCCCAAGAACGGCATTTCTCGCGTCATCGTAAGTCGCTCTTGTGCAACCCTCCGGACACACGCAGCTAACCGCTGTCGCACAGGTCGAGAAGCCATTCGGCAAGGACCTCCCAAGTTCAAGAGAGCTGCAGAAGGCATTGGCTCCTGACTGGACTGAAGATGAGCTTTACCGAATTGACCACTACCTGGGTAAGGAGATGGTCAAGAACATCCTCATTCTCCGATTCGGTAACGAGTTCTTCGGCGCAACCTGGAACAGGAACCACATCGACAACGTTCAGATCACCTTCAAGGAGCCTTTCGGAACCGAAGGCCGTGGAGGTTACTTTGACGAGTTTGGCATCATCCGTGATGTTATGCAGAACCGTAAGCGAAGACTGATGGTTGAAATGAGGATTGACTGACGATTGCAGATTTGCTCCAAGTTCTTACCCTCCTCGCTATGGAGCGCCCCATCTCCTTCTCCGCCGAAGACATCCGCGACGAAAAGGTCCGCGTCCTCCGTGGTATGGCCTCGATCGAGCCCAAGAACGTTATAATCGGACAGTACGGAAAGTCACTGGACGGTCAAAAGCCAGGCTACAAGGAGGACGACACAGTCCCCAAGGACTCGCGCTGCCCCACTTTCGCGTCCATGGTCGCCTACATCAAGAACGAGCGATGGGACGGCGTGCCCTTCATCCTGAAGGCAGGAAAGGCCCTGAACGAGCAGAAGACGGAGGTCCGCATCCAGTTCAAGGATGTCACCTCTGGCATCTTCAAGGATATCCCGCGAAACGAGCTCGTGATCCGTGTGCAGCCCAACGAGAGTGTTTACATTAAGATGAACTCCAAGCTGCCCGGTCTCAGCATGCAGACTGTCGTCACAGAACTCGACCTTACCTACAGACGGCGATTCTCCGACCTGAAGATCCCCGAGGCATACGAGTCGCTCATTCTCGATGCGCTGAAGGGCGACCATTCCAACTTCGTTCGTGACGACGAGCTCGACGCTAGCTGGAGAATCTTCACACCTCTTCTCCACTACCTTGACGACAACAAGGAGATCATTCCTATGGAGTACCCATATGGTTCGTAGTAGGCCGAGAACACATGCGAATACCGGCTAACTATTATCAGGCTCCCGCGGCCCTGCCGTATTGGATGACTTCACTTCTTCTTACGGATACAAGTTCAGCGACGCAGCAGGTAGGACCTCACCTCTGCAGGACATTGAACCCAAAGACTAACTCGATTCTAGGATACCAGTGGCCCATGAACGAGCAGAAGTTGTAGATGGTGACTACACTTAGAAAGCGCCTCGGGTGAGTTCTGCTCGGGGTGACGAAGAATACATTTTTGGGAGGGTTGAGCAGCTTAGGTGCACTCAAGCCAATAGATAATGAATACAACGGCATTTGCATGTCGTACAACTCTTGATTATGCATGTGTGATGGTGAATCGGCCGCTGCTGATTACTTTGTTACGGCCAGCACGTTAGACTTCCGAAAGCGGAGGCTGGTAAGCTAGGTATGCTTGGTGGGGTCCAGGGCCAGAGCGGGATGGCATCATCGGCGTTATGAGAAATTTTTGAGAGGCGTCGCGTCAGACGACATCGATTGAGTCAATTGTAGGTGTCACTGTAGGCAAAATTAGACGCAACCAGTCATCAAGTACTCGCAAAAAGTGGGGAGCATCTCCTGTGCGTGTGTTGTTGCTGTCTATTGCAGCCGCCAGTCATACTTTGCCGCAGCATCCTAAAACCTGCCTTGCGATTACCCTGTGATTCGTTGAGCATTTTGCAGTTTGGTAGCTGCAGTCAAGAGTCACTGCGTATTAATAGTCTAGATTCCTCCAGCATCGTCCGGATCAGACAGCCAGATTGAGTTGTCGCATCCCTCCTCCGAGCCACCTCCGCAACAACCTCCGCGCACCCACCATGACTCCCGCACAGGACATTGCCGGCAGCGGCATCAGCCAACTCGCACGCCAAGTGTCCAACAGCCTCAACCTCAGCACCAGCCCAAACCTCTCCTTCCACAGCCCGCCCTCCACATTCCGCCAACCGCCCACTGGCAGCTTCAGCAATCAGGCCAACAACAGCGCGCACGCGCAACAACTCGCCAAGCAACTGAAACCGTTCGATACCAAGGACATCAAGGTCCTGCTGCTCGAGAATGTCAACGAGGCCGGTGTCGATATCCTGCGCGGCCAGGGCTACCAGGTCGAGGCAATCAAGGCCAGTCTGGCAGAAGACCAGCTGATTGAGAAGATCCGCGATGTGCACGTCATTGGCATTCGCTCAAAGACGAAGCTCACCAAGAAGGTGCTGGAGGAGGCAAAGAACCTGATCGTCATCGGCTGCTTCTGCATCGGAACGAACCAGGTCGACCTCCAGACCGCCGCCAGCCAGGGTATCGCCGTCTTCAACTCGCCCTTCAGCAATTCCCGCTCCGTCGCCGAACTCGTCATCTCGGAGATCATCGCCCTCGCCCGCCAGCTCGCCGACCGCTCCATGGAACTACACAATGGCACCTGGAACAAGGTCAGCAAGGGCTGCTGGGAGATCCGCGGCAAGACGCTGGGCATAGTCGGATACGGACACATTGGTAGCCAGCTGAGTGTGCTGGCCGAATCCATGGGCATGAGCGTAATCTACTACGACGTCCTGACCACCATGGGTCTGGGAACCGCGCGACAAGTCGCGTCTCTGGACGACCTCCTCGCCCAAGCCGACTTCGTCTCCCTCCACGTCCCCGCGACCTCTGAAACCAAGAACCTGATCGGCGCCGAGCAATTCGCAAAGATGAAGGACGGCAGCTACCTCATCAACAACGCGCGCGGCACCGTCGTCGACATCCCCGCCATGATCGAAGCCAGCCGCTCTGGCAAACTCGCCGGCGCCGCCATCGACGTCTTCCCCAACGAACCCGCCGGCAACGGCGACTACTTCAGCTCCGACCTGAACACGTGGACCAAGGACCTCGTCGGCCTAAAGAACATCATCCTAACCCCTCACATCGGCGGCAGCACAGAAGAAGCGCAATCCGCCATCGGCGTCGAAGTCAGCACAGCACTTGTCCGCTACGTCAACGAGGGCACCACGCTCGGCGCCGTCAACCTGCCTGAAGTCAATCTGCGTAGCTTGACGCTCGATCAGCCCGATTGCATGCGTGTTATTTACATCCATAAAAACGTGCCTGGTGTGCTGAGACAGGTCAACGGTATCTTGCTTCACCACAATATCGAGAAGCAGATGTCGGATTCGAGAGGCGAGGTTGCGTATCTCATGGCGGATATCAGTGAGGTTAAGGAGGGGGAGATTAGGGATTTGTTCACGAGTTTGGAGGAGCTTTCTTGTACGTCTACACTTCTACACCACCTCACCCCTTTGCTTGAGAAGATGGCTAACATAACGCAGCGTGTATCCGTACCAGGGTCCTGTACTAGGCGGACAGCCCCTTTCACGGTCGCGGAGAAGAGCGGATGGAGCCGGCGGAGCAGATGGAGGAGACTGACCTTGTTGAACAACACAAGAATGATACGAGGGATGATATGTTGGGTTCGCTGCCGCATATTAGGGACCTTAAAAGTATGGGTAGAAGGCTTTCGCACGGCGTATGATTTGGGGTTGTGCATACATTGGCTAGAAAAGTAGAGTTCAACACTAGGTTATTATTACTGCCGGAATGAATGAGATACGAGATGCAATGATGAAAGGAGCGCCTTGTGGAATTGTCTGCTATGAATGTCCTGTGAGCCCCGTGAGCTACAGCGCACACGCAGTGCATCGCCCGCACCATGAAGCCACGCCCAAAGCTAGTTCACATTAACCCTCATTATCCTTTACTCCGTGCCTCCATATCATGGTCTTATGCATAACGCTTTTATGCCCTATTCTTTCTCTTTCTACTTCTCCGCATTCACTTCCTTCTCGCCTGTGGTGTGGTTACCCAGGCGATTTCGGCACGTTCTTTGCGATCCTGGACAGCCGTGCTTGACTCCTTAGTCTCTTCCTGTGAGCTCGATGCAGTCCTCTCTGCCTAACCATCTTCGACAAGTACGTTGATGACATGGGGACTTTGTCAGTACCGCCACTTTTTGGGGCGGCCCATTGGTATGTGCGGTTGAATTGGTGTTATTATTGGTTTGATGTACAAAGTCTGCAGGAAGTTGGCGTCGGTGAAGTCGATTTAGAGAATGTCGTCGATGAACTCTTCTACCGTAGGTAGAATAGTTGTGATTTGCTTGTTTTGATCTATAGGGTGTTGCCATGAGAAGAATCGCTCTTGGTTAGACAAAGCTTTCGTAGATAGGCCGTGCTGACGTCGTAGCTGCGAATTCATTTCAATCTGAAGCCGACATTGGTAAGCAGCGTGATTCCAATCGAGTCAGTGTAGGAACTGAAAGGTTCAGCTTGCTAGCTTGAAGCGTATGAGTTGTCGTTGACGGAGTTTTGAGACTACCATACGTTCCAGGTAAAGGTCGTTGCTATGATGCCTGGACTTGATTTTCAACTCGTCTTTAGCCCAGGGTGATGGTCACCGGCTCCGAGTCACGTATCCAGGCTAAATACTCTTCATGGCCATCCTGCAAGCTACTCCATAAGAAGCCCGGCATGTCCTTAGCCCTCAAAGTCTGGATACCATTGGTGCTAGAATCCAAAACGTCGAACCCTTCTCCTATCTTGATCATGTAGTCATGGATCGAGAGTTCAGTCATGGCAAACCCTATGCGTTCGTAATAAGTTCCGTGGTCGCGGAGTACCATCATCGACAAAGATCTGAGATCTTTGTCGTGTATGATCGCGCATATTGTTTGGGTGCAGTCATAGTCGTCAGGGGGTTCTGTGTCCCATAACACGTGCATGTAAAGTTTGATGTCTGCCTCATCTTCCGTAGCGCTGCCGATGGGCAATACTAGAAATGCTCGTGGCCACTCAGTAAAATCTGTATCCCACCGATCGACTCCACCTGCCCGTATCATGCTGACCACAGGAAATCGGTGGAGTTTGACGGTGATCCGTAGATACCGTGGATTCTCCCTGAAGTGCCTGTCTCCGATCCCATTCTGAACATGATCAGAAATGCTACTAGCATCCTTCTCGGATAATTCAAATTGGTGAAGATCAGCTGCGAATTCGATGGATCCATTCCAGCCCAGTGGTGACCAACTGGGATATTCTGGTCGTCTGATGGCGGTTGAAGCGTGCCTCCAACTGATACAAATGATACGCTGCTCATCCTGCGCTAAACGGTACGGTATGCCCCATATGGTATCATTGGGTTGATCCTTGGCGCGATGGTAGTTCAGAACGCCCAGTATTGCATTGAGAGCATCATAGTCGTAGCTGAGTTCGCGAGCTGAGTAACGTTCGATCAATCGCATAACCTTGTTGTGCCCGCTAGCTCCATCGCTTCTGGCCCCTAGAGCTCGAGGATTCAATGTGCCTTCGAGCATAAACACATCAGACTCAGATGCGCAACGCTGGAAGCCTTCGTGCTCTTGTAGCTGGTTACAAATGAACAAGACTGCACTCTCAGTGAAGTACAGCCGCCTTCGTGAAAGGTAGCCTTCTTGGAATGTCCATCCCCGTGTGGACCATCGAGAGCGATTTACAATGCGATGGACCGTGGGTGGAACATAGGATACGCACATATCGCCAACTGCAGCGTCTCGATACCTCACTCTTCGTTCCTTACTTACACCCGGTAGGCCGTATGAGGAGTCATCGCCTGCTGCTGCAATCAGAGTGAGCTCTGCCGAGGTGTATATCGAATCCATTTGTTGGATTTGACGATGCTTGTCTTCTGCATCATCTTGCTGTATACACTGACCTCTTGATTAGCAAAGTTGATGTATCATATGGGTACTTACAAAAGCGCTGCACATCCAATAACATATTAGCTCAGTTGCCGTCCAGGATCAGAGGGACACAACTTACTCAACCCAGAGATACTTATATCCGAGAAGTAGTGTAGCTTTCATGCTATCCTCAATAGTACGAGGCAGCTCGCGAGGCAGATGGCTAGCACTCGTGTCTGTGTTGCAGAACACCCCGCCCCATACGTACGACAAAGCCAGATACTGACATCCTACTGGCGCCGCGATGACCGATCTTTCCGCGCAGTCAATGACTTTAAGATTGTAAGGTTCTTGTTCAATACTGAGCCTGCATCGAATGTGCGACTTGCAACACTCGTCAAGCCAACCCCTGATCGCATTAAAGTCGATGCGTCCATCCTCTGTCTCCACACTCTTCCAATCATCAGCGATGGAAGGCTCCGGATACCATACCTTGACCATTCCGGTTATACGATAATCCCCCTCCTTGGTGCCGTCAGGGTAATGAAAGACGGCCCTGCCTGAATGGCCTAGCCACCGTGCCCAACGCAACATGGGCCTTGTCGTACCGGACTTCAACTCTTTATGTTTCTGCAGCGCTGTTCCAAGTACCTGGCATACTTCACAAGCTGACGTCAATAAGGTCTCCGCGCTTTCTTCAATTCTAAAGATATCCGCGCCTTCTTCTTGGTACGGTACTCTGGGCCATACGGACAAGCATCGATCGCACGCTTGACTCTTTGTCGGGTGAAATTGCCCCGTGTGTTCGACCGCTTTTGTCATGATGCTCGCAATGGGTGGAACGAATGGTGAGGCGACAAAGAAGCTCGCATTTGCTGGTGTTGTACCTATGAAAACGTAGCCTGAAGGAATACAGCATGTCCCCACGCTCGAAGGGTCGCAACTAGTCTGCAGTGAGTAATTCAAGGTGCTGGTACGACTGAAAGAAATTGTCTGTGGTTGTTGGCAGCCGTGACTGCCAGCTCAGGTGGCGTGGGCGATAAGCGCTATCGCACGTGATCGTTCATGTGACGTGTTTGCCCAGGTGTCTTCGTGTACAATATGATGTATCTGGGCAAGGACGTTACGAACACTTCAAGAGCGCGTAAGTTGTGATCAACGGGATATCATTGGACGTATTTGGCAATGTTCATCTTGTCACTTGGTGGAAATTTACCAGCGTGATGGTTACACAAGGACACTTTGACTGGTAGCGAGTCGTGAGCTCGTGGAGAACTACGACAGCCAGGTGTGGAGATATCCAAGGAGTCACTCACGCTATGGTGGGTATGACCGAGCCATGGCCATGCAGCCCCTTTGCAGTTAGTCGATTCGATGATTACTGAAGCCCCGAATTCCTGGTCTTTGAAGTACAATGAAGTCGTGACGCCCACGTATCATGCTGAGGCGGCATGTTTCAGTTGGCCGGGTTCAGCAAGAACGGATGCGCGAAGAAAGAGATCCGAGAGGCGAAACGTCCAGGGAGTTTACCTGCATAAACTCTGGGGAAGGACTGTCGCTTTAGATGACAGGTGGGGAATGGGACAGTGCGAGTAAGAATGCTGGCCCGCATGTGGGTGTGGTACGCAGCACGTTGGAAGGCCGGACAGCGTCACAGGCTGCTCCAGGTGCGCCGAGTGAGGCTGCAGATCGGATGCAAGCTGGTGAGGCTACTTGGGATGCAGAAGTGAGGAGGTGCATATGGTGAGACGCCTGTCTGCGCGGTTCCAGGTGGCAGAGCGGTGGTGGTTGGCTCGGCCCCCTGGAGGTGGTCTGTGCGGGTTGGCGGGATGTTGGCGGTGAGAGGCGATTAGCGTGACCAGAGAAAGTCGACAACACGGCGGGCAGCAGTTCGCATAACTTCGCCCACACGATTGCCCTTCTCTCCTCCAGGGATGCATCGAGCCCTGTGACTGCAGCGACATCCCACGCTGACGACGTCCACGACCGCCCACACGCAGCCAGCGACCGCACCGACTTAGCGAGCTGAGCATATCCCACCACCAGGGAGCCGCCTCTGGACCCTGAACCCGCACCGCCATTTGGAGGGGGACAACCCATACACAACCACCCACCATGGCTCACATCTACGACCTCGGCACCCGGGCATGGCAGCCCGATACCACCGAGGGCTGGGTCGCCTCCGAGGTGACGGACAAGCAGATCGCGGGAGACAAAGTGAAGCTGGTGTTCACGCTGGAGAATGGCGAGGTACGCACACCCACGGGCATGATATTGATGCAGGACACGGCAACTGACGATGCTTCGCTGCGCAGACCAAATCCGTCGAGACGACGATTCTGGCCATCCAGACCGGCAATGACCCCAATCTCCCTCCGCTGATGAACCCGGCCATGCTCGAGGCCAGCGATGACCTTACGAACCTGTCACATCTGAATGAGCCGGCTGGTACAGTCGCCCGACCCCACACACAAGACATGGCATACTGACGGTCGTGCAGTGCTCCAGGCCATCAAGCTGCGTTACCTGCAGAAGGAGATCTACACATACTCGGGTATCGTCCTGATCGCGACAAATCCCTTTGCGCGAGTCGACTCCCTATACGTACCCGGCATGGTACAGGTCTACGCTGGCAAGCAGAGATCCTATGGCGCTCCGCATTTGTTTGCCATTGCTGAAGAAGCCTTCGCGTGAGTTCCCCGCGCCCATCTCCCAACCACCCGTCATGGCAGTGACTAATCTTTACCAGCGACATGTTGCGAGACCAGAAGAACCAGACCATTGTCGTCTCTGGAGAGTCCGGAGCCGGAAAGACGGTCAGCGCCAAATACATCATGCGATACTTTGCCACACGAGAGTCCCCGGACAACCCAGGCAAGCGGAGAGGCAAGTCCGACTCGATGAGCGAGACCGAAGAACAGATTCTGGCTACCAACCCCATTATGGAAGCCTTCGGTAACGCCAAAACCACTCGTAACGACAACTCCTCGCGTTTCGGTAAATACATCGAGATCATGTTCAACAAGCAGACGGATATTATTGGTGCGAAGATCAGGACATATCTGCTGGAACGGTCGAGACTGGTGTTTCAGCCGCTTAAGGAGCGGAATTACCACGTCTTCTACCAGCTGGTAGCCGGTGCGTCGGATGAGGAGCGCGAAGAGCTCTCCCTGAAGTCGGTCGAGGAGTTCAGCTACCTCAACCAAGGCAGTGCGCCTGTGATTGAGGGTATGGACGACGTGGCTGAGTTCAAGGCCACAAGACAATCCTTGACCAAGATCGGTGTGCCGCCAGAAACCCAAGCCGGCATCTGGCGTCTGCTCGCGGCGCTGTTGCACATGGGAGACATCAAGATCACAGCAACTCGAACAGACTCAAATCTTGACCCAGCCGAGCCTTCTCTCGTCAAGGCTTGTTCGCTGCTAGGAATTGACGCCAACACTTTCGCCAAGTGGATTGTAAAGAAGCAACTCATTACCAGAGGAGAGAAGATTGTCTCCAACTTGACGCAGCAGCAGGCTATCGTGGTCCGAGACTCCGTTGCCAAGTTCATCTATTCGAGCTTGTTCGACTGGCTGGTCGAGCGCACAAACGAGAGTCTGGCCACCGAAGAGGTTATTGCGCAAGCCCACACCTTCATTGGTGTCCTCGATATCTACGGTTTCGAGCACTTCGCAAAGAACTCTTTCGAGCAGTTCTGTATCAACTACGCTAATGAAAAATTGCAACAAGAGTTCAACGCGCACGTCTTCAAGCTGGAGCAGGAGGAGTACATGCGCGAACAAATCGACTGGACTTTCATCGACTTTGCCGACAACCAGCCTTGTATCGATCTTATTGAAGGCAAGCTAGGTATCTTGTCTCTACTAGACGAAGAGTCGCGCTTGCCCATGGGTTCGGATGAGCAATTCGTTACTAAGCTACACCACAACTACTCCGGAGACAAGCACAAATTCTACAAGAAGCCCCGGTTCGGCAAGTCGTCCTTCACCGTCTGCCATTACGCCATCGATGTCACGTACGAATCTGATGGCTTCATCGAGAAGAACAGAGATACTGTGCCGGACGAGCACATGGAGGTCCTCAAGGCTGCAAGCAATAAGTTCTTGACCCAAGTCTTGGACGTTGCTGCGTCGATCCGAGAGAAGGAGAATGCTACCAGCGCTTCGTCCAAGCCAGGTACTGCCATGTCGGCTGGCCGAAGGATGGCGACCAACCGCAAGCCAACACTCGGTGGTATTTTCAAATCGTCTCTCATCGAACTCATGCAGACCATCAACTCAACCGACGTCCACTATATCCGATGTATCAAGCCCAACGAGGCCAAGGCTGCTTGGCAATTCGATGGACCCATGGTTCTCAGCCAATTGCGCGCTTGTGGTGTTCTCGAGACTGTCAGGATCAGTTGCGCCGGTTACCCCACACGGTGGACTTATGAGGAATTCGCTCTGCGTTACTACATGTTGGTCAGATCCGCTGACTGGACGCCCGAAATCCGAAACATGGCCACGGCAATCTTGAAGAAGGCACTAGGTGCCGGCAAGAACGATGGCACCGACAAGTACCAGATGGGTTTGACAAAGATCTTCTTCCGCGCTGGTATGCTTGCGTTCCTCGAGAACTTGCGTACAGCCAGACTCAACGATGCCGCCGTCATGATCCAGAAGAACCTCCGAGCCAAATACTACCGCCGTATCTACCTCGAGATGCGCGAGGCTGTCATCCACGTGCAATCATTGGCTAGGGGCTACATGACCAGGGAACGAGCCGAGGAGGCCAGGCAGGTCAAGGCTGCAACCACCATTCAGAGAGTCTGGCGTGGTAGCAAGGACCGCAAGCGCTTCCTTGTTGTCCGAAACTCGCTTATCAAGTTTGAGGCTGCCGCAAAGGGATTCTTGCTCCGTAAGAACATCCTGGACAAGAGGCTTGGAGATGCTGCTCGCATGATCCAACGCAACTGGCGCAAACAAAGGTATATCCGCGCCTATAAGAAGGAGATCAACGACATCATCACTGTCCAGAAGCTCTGGAGGGGAAGGAAAGCTCGCAGGGAATACAAGGTCCTTCGCGCCGAATCTCGCGATCTCAAGAACATCTCTTACAAGCTAGAGAACAAGGTCGTGGAGCTTACCCAGAACTTGGGTACGATGAGGGAGCAGAACAAGTCACTCAAGTCTCAAGTAGAGAACTACGAGAGCCAGATCAAATCGTACAAGGAGCGCAGCCGTACACTCGAGAACCGCCAGAAGGAGCTACAAGCCGAAGCCAACCAGGCTGGTATCACCGCTGCCAAGCTCAGCCAGATGGAAGACGAGTACAAGAAGCTGCAGACAAGCTACGAAGAGAGCACCGCAAAGATGCGCCATCTTCAAGAAGAGGAGAAGGAACTCCGTGCGTCGCTTAAGAGGACCACAGACGACCTGGAGCAGTCCAAGAGGAGGAGCAATGTCACTGAGACCGAAAAGATGTCGCTCCGCCAGCAACTCGCCGAGCTGCAAGAGCAGGTTGAACTGATGAAGCGATCTGGCCCAATGCCTGGTGAGCTGACAAACGGTCACTCCACGGCCATAGCCCCCAGCAGCTTGATCAAGCTTGTCTCGTCGAAGAAGCCAAAAAGGCGCAGTGCTGGACCAGACACCCGCGACATCAACCGATTCAGCGAACAATACAACCCGCGACCTGTCTCCATGGCTCCTGGTTCCACCATTCACAGGCAAAACCTCTCCGGCTCAACGTTTGCTCAGCTCGATAACGTCGAGCTTGAGCTTGAGAACATCCTTGCTGAGGAAGACATGCTGAACGATGAGGTCACTCTTGGCCTGATCAAGAACCTGAAGATCCCATCGCCCACTACAACACCCCCACCTACCGATAAGGAGGTTCTCTTCCCGGCTTACCTCATCAACCTTGTCACCTCCGAAATGTGGAACAACGGTTTCGTCAAGGAATCAGAGCGCTTCCTCGCGAACGTTATGCAGTCGATCCAACAAGAGGTCATGCAGCACGATGCTGAAGACGCGATCAACCCAGGTGCCTTCTGGTTGTCGAACGTTCACGAGATGCTCTCGTTCGTCTTCCTGGCTGAAGACTGGTACGAGCAACAGAAGACCGACAACTACGAGTACGACAGACTGCTGGAGATTGTGAAGCATGATCTTGAGAGTCTCGAGTTCAACATCTACCACACCTGGATGAAGGTGCTCAAGAAGAAGCTGCACAAGATGATCATTCCTGCTATCATCGAATCGCAATCACTGCCCGGCTTCGTTACCAACGAGAGCAACCGTTTCCTTGGAAAGCTCCTCCAGGGCAGCAACACCCCTGCCTACAGCATGGACAACCTACTCACCCTACTCAACAGCGTCTACAAGGCCATGAAGGCTTACTACTTGGAAGACTCCATCATCACACAGTGTGTCACCGAGTTGCTGAGGTTGGTGGGCGTCACTGCCTTCAACGACTTGCTCATGCGCCGCAACTTCCTTTCATGGAAGCGAGGTCTGCAGATCAACTACAACATCACCCGTATCGAAGAGTGGTGCAAGTCGCATGACATGCCAGAGGGCACACTGCAACTTGAGCATCTGATGCAAGCAACCAAGTTGCTCCAGCTGAAGAAGGCTACTTTGAACGACATTGAGATTATTCAGGACATCTGCTGGATGCTGAGTCCGAACCAGATCCAAAAGCTGCTGAACCAGTACCTGGTAGCCGACTACGAGCAGCCCATCAACGGCGAGATCATGAAGGCCGTCGCGTCGCGTGTGACGGAGAAGAGCGACGTTCTTCTCCTCACCGCAGTCGACATGGAGGACAGTGGCCCATACGAAATCGCGGAGCCAAGAGTGATAACAGCACTCGAGACATACACGCCTTCCTGTAAGTATTTCCTTTCAACCATCTACCGCACCATCGGCACACGTCTAATACGATCGACAGGGCTGCAAACCCCCCGCCTCAAGCGCCTCGCAGAGATCGTCTCGCAACAAGCCATTGCGCAGCAAGAGAAGCTCGAGTTCGACGACGACATGCCCAACGGCCAGAGCAACGGCGACGCCATGCAGGCTCTCACCGGCGGCATGGGCATGAACGGCAACGGAATGAACGGCCACGGTACGATTGAAGAGGGAATTGAAGCATGAACTTTAGCATCTTTTGTCAGCACAGCGAGCGAAAATTTGGTATTAGACACATGAAACGACACGCGCGCGCACGAGAAAGACGACAACGGGAGGGAAGTAAGCGCCGCAGATGATGATGATGATGATGATGGGGAACTCTCCAATGTTTGTAAAGTTGTTAGGAAGCAAAGCTGTGTCCTTCTTCTTCTTTCTGTCTTCTGGTCTAGTTGCTGGAACTTCTGGGAGGGATGGAAAGGGGGGAGGGGGGTGTTTGCTTCGGAATTACTAACTTACTTACTCTTCGTTGGGGAGGATTCAGTGGGCGCGTATGACGCATGATGATGTTGGGTATTTAATGCTGGGGTTCTTTTGCGCGAATGATGTATCTTTTTTAACTTTTATTGGATGCGTGTGTTATGTGTGGCTTGTGTGTGCGGTGTTGATGTGTCGAGGTGATTGAGAGGACCGACTTCAACACTTTCAGGCACACGGTGATTGAGCTGCTGACGGATTGCTTTGGTGAACGTGCTGGTGCCACCTCATACAAGGAAAAACCTGAACAGGCCTGAGGACTACATCAAGACAAAAATCTACCAAGTAGGTGATCCAACAGCAACGTAGACTCTAGAGTATTTAGTTTTTTCCTAGGTTGGCGTGGTGCCGAAATGCAGGCACAACGCAGTTGAGTGACACAGTGCATGATTGCAATGCAGATGTTATTTCCTAAACACCCTTGTTTCACAGTATGCAGCAGTAGAGCTGCTGGACGGTTACTTCTACAATTCGCTGCCAAAACCTCCGTATGACAATGTCCTTCGTGTAGCCTCTTACAATGCGAGAAGATTTGCAAGATACGGAGGAACGTGGGTACGTTTGAGGGATACGTAGACAGATTCAGAGACGGCTTGATAGGCAGGATCTGGGTGAAGACCTCCGCGCTGTTGTAGTGCATCTTTGCTGGAAGGTAAGGGGTATTCGAGAATCATCGAGCAGTGCAACGATTGTTCAAACCTCTTCCCCATCGCGAATTCAGGTTTTCTTTGGTAGTTTGCTAGAAAGCTACCGTATCCACCAAACGATCCGTCTGCGTACTTAGTGACTATTGCCAATGACATACAGATGGCTACATGACCTTTGGGAGCAAGCACGATCTCAAGTACTTATAGGTATAGGAACGAACAGATAGCTTCTCTCATCACTACGATTCCAGGTATCAGTCCTTCCAGTACATTCGAAACTTCTGCCTTCCTTGACAGCTTAAGCCATGACCGATCCAAATTTACCAATCGATCCAAATTTACCAATCGAATCTCCAAACCGACGTCCTCAGGACTACGCCGATATGACTGGGTGGGGATTTGCACACAAGTTCGATCGCAACGTCCGCGGACACAGGCTGGAGGATGGGCACAAGAAGACTATCCAAGCCGCTGCCGCCATCGCAGACCAACTTAGATGGACTACATCGCAGATGAAGCCAGAGTACTGGCCTGACAAGGAGACATTAGTAGCAAAGCAGTTTCTGATGTCTAATCTGGTGCAGCTCCATCTGGTTTGCTACGAACCTCTGGAAGAGATTCGAAAACACATTATCAAAGTTGATCCTGATCTCTTGGATAAGGTATGTTACTAAACACCTCTCTATGACTGTTGCTCAACGGTTTGGTGCGGCTAAAGGCTAACTTTATTGCAGAAGTTTAGAAAGGCATGTTGGCAAATGCCGCAACAAGCCCGAGACGATGAATCCCCAGTTGAGAGCCCCCTACCACCCGATGAGGAGAAACAGAAGAAGCCAACCGACAAGTTCTCAAAGGACGAGGACTTCCGCAAAGATCGACAGGAAAAGATCATGGCCAACCAGGGCGCATACTTCGATTACTTCGAGAATGATGGAGGTGACGAAGCGTTCACTTGGGGAGACGCGATAAGATCAGCCCTCAGGACGTGTGATGCCGCCTACTTTGAAATCGATCGTCATCACAGACTGCTCAAACAGCCGGAGAAGAAGTCGGGTTGGCGTTTGGACCGAATGGATGTTTTATCCAAGAGGAGAGGCATGCCAACCCGTTCAAATCAGGAGTTGTTGATCGAACTCGCTCTCAATCATGAGTTCGGAGGTCCTCCGTCTCCAATCAGCCGGACAATAATGGCCAACTGGAAGACCGGAAACGACGTTCAGCGCGCTCTCAACATCCACTTGGGGCGTTTCATAAAGCAAGAACCTGACGGCGGCGCACCTACCGAGACACGTCACTGGACTACCGACTTCGCGCGCAAGTACAACCATCCCCATGCTGCCGAGCCTGCGATGTTCTTCATTTGCACGCACGAGTACATCCGGCCAAATCCCGCGCAGCCAATCACAAAGTGGATTGTTGGAGGCACCACGCCGCTTACAGGAGGAACAACGGTCTGGTTTCCTTGGGCTGACAAGTTTTACAAGGCTGTCAGAGAGCAAGGTCTTGGTAGCGACTTCGTTGCGAAGGTGAAGGCGGCCAATGACGCGCAGAAAGAACATGAACAACGACTGCTTGGCGACACGACAGACCTAACTAAGGATCAACTATTCGAGCAGAACCTGTCTGCTCGAAAAGTCGTCATCAGCCAATTGACGAACGACTCAACCCATCAGAGGTACGTGGCTCGGATTCGCTGCCAGGGCCTAGCGATCAACAGTTTCATGCAGCCAGTCCAATGCTGTTATCGTTGCCAATGCAACTACCAGTACACAGTACTGAGCACACACATGACACCATCTACAGACTACGAGCCGACTATCGATCACTTGAAGAAATACGACTGGGGCAGGCATTGCCCATGGTTTCATCAGTGCGCCGAGGCACTTGCAGCCTGTCAGTGCTTCGCCTTCGATGATGCACAGAACGACGCCAACCGACCCCAGTCTCCCAGAGTGGCCGAGCTGAAAGGAAAGTCTCTCAAGAAAAAGAAGAGCACCCACCTTTTTTAGTTCCAAGAGATGAGTGCGGTTGGTACGACTTTCGCGACACCACATCACTCCGGCATCGACATGCAACTCCTCCATCAAAACCGGCATTGCCTACCCTGCGGCGAAGAACGGTGCTGCTTCCCTCCTGTGGTCGCTTGATCACTGTCGAGCTCTCTTTCTCGTCTCTTCGTCTTTCTTCTCACGATGTTTATTACTCGTGTGTTCTCCTTGTCGCTTCTTTGTCTTACTTTTCGCGTTATTTCCTACTTGCGCATCCTCCTGGCTCCACCGTCCTTTCCCTACCCTTTCCCCTGCCCTTTCCCCTGCCCTTTTCCCTGCCCTTTTCCCTGCCCTTTTCCCTGCCCCTTGTCTCCTTTTCCCTGCCCCTTGTCTCCTTTTCCTTTCACGCCTCCACCCTGTCTAGTGTCCATCTCATGTGGCGTTCGTCCACCTATTAGAAATCCCCTTCTCTCATTCTACGTTTGCCTCCCATAGCCACAACCAAAAAACCCAAAAAAAAATACCATTCTTTAAAGTGCTTCCTTACTATGATGTGATATTATGATGTTCTCTCTTAAGTGCCAATGGTGGTCCAACCACCTGTGCATATGCAATCTTGAGTAAGTCTTCGACTTGGATGTGTTGACTTCAACGACTGAACATCATCACTCTACCGCAAGATATGTAGGTCGTATATATGTATTTATTTTGATTTCATCCAGTCGGTCATCTCTTGGCATATACCACGATCGTGAATACCGGGTTTATCATGCCCTCTGCATACATCCAATGTATTTAAAGGTGCCATCATTCTTCATAATCTATAAAGTTTCAAGGGCTACGTTGTTGATCGCTTCATATGGGTTCGTGCCGCTGTGAGGGTTGGTAGAATCAACGCAGTTCGTAATGAGTTTGGCAAATACTCCTCCATCCGCACGACACATGTTCAATGCATTTGGTATGATACTCACGACTGTAACATTCGTCGTTTTGATAGCATGTCCGTAGAAAAGTAAAAAAATGCTCATGAATCCAACAACAGCGATCAACGTGACGTCGGGATGGAAGAATCTGGTCCGCATACGCACACCGCAAGTGGCGGGCTGACGCAAGCTGAGCACTTGACGATTGCTGTGAAGTTAAACTTTCCGATGTTTTCATGATCTGTTGTCTGCGCGCTTGCGGGGGTATCCAACAAACGCACTTTGATTGGACGGTGCCTAAGGTACCTAGGTAGCACAAACCGTGGTAGCTGAACGCAACCTTGGGGCCCTTTGCCATTCCCCGTACTCAACAAGATTCCAAAAGCCAAACTTAAGCGATTGATGCGCAAAAGCTCAGTTTTCTTTAGCTGGCTGGTATGGATTTCGCGCTCACGCGCGAGCCAAGTGGATTGTCTCCAGGGCTTGCTTGGCCCAACCTTGAAAGGTGAGAGCACGCGGGCGTGGCGCCTGTAATTGCCGCACAAACGCGGTGACTCATCCAAATATCTAGGTACTTATTAAGTGCGCACGCAAATCCTGAAACCACTCGTCCACATTTCTTCGTTGACTTCACCTCGAAACCCGACCTGGTACGAACTATCGATACAACCGCAACTTCGCTTACTCAACAATCTGTATTAGTCGTCATGGATAAGCCGAACTACAAGTCCATCCGAGAGAGGATGTTCGCGAAAAGAGAGAAGCTCCGATCCAAAGGCGATGGCGACACTTCCTCAAAAGATCCTGACGACAAATTCGAGAACGAGGGCCAGATCCTCGAAGCTGCACTACCAAGTGCGGTGGAGCAAGAGAAGTTCTGGGATTGGGTACACGCTGTGGACAAAAAGAGCCGGACAGTACCTGAAGGCGGAACGGCCAAGGATTACATCGATACTCTCGCGAAGACCGACTACGTGGACGACCGATCTCTCGGAAAGCTTTACAAACGCCTGAGCTCATACTTCTACCCTTGTATCCCGATTGGAACCCATCATGGTTATCGTTATGCCGTTAGTCCGTGTATGTTGATACTCGGACCTGATGAAGAAAAAGTCAACTGGGACGACCCACGTGAATTCGCCAGCGAAGGATTCATCGCGATCGATCTGCCAGCTGGAACGAGGATCTCGTACACGAGTCCGGCTCGAGAGCGCTCGGCAAGGCAGCAGGATAATTCTTCAGAAGAATCGCGGTTCAGTTCCTCCAGTACCCACAGCATGGTACAAGGCAACGGTCATACCGGATTTGCTTGCTTTACGATCGGGAAGGTGCAAGCAGTCGACGCAAAGCATTGGTCCGACGATGGCAAGCTACCCGAAGGGAAAGATCTGCAGGAGATTCATTGGGAAGAGACAGATTGGGTCATGGTCGTTGTCATAGATGACGATGGCAAGCCTGGTTCTGTCTGGCTGCTACAAGACTTCGAGCCCATGATCGAAAATACGAACAACATCTACATCATCGAGCAGTCAAATACCCACGGGTGGGGCTACTTCCAGCACCAGCTCGACATGCGTCCGCGACCACAGCAACTTGCTGGTGTGAAGATTGCGAACAGAGTCAGTGACTTGTCCGAAGATTTGAAGTGGACCATGGACGAATACATTACGGCGAAGTACGAAATCGTGCAGGCAGTACTCGCGGAGCGTAAGAACGGTCGGTCGCCTGTCATCGTCAGACAGCTTCCACTGGACAGGGACGAGGGCCAGAATTGGATGGAAAACAGCTCAGGAACTTTGGAAGACGACTCAACGCCGGAACTGTCGAGGCTGCGCATTTGAGACGACTACTAGCGGATAAGAGATGCGAGATAGATACTCTTGGAAGAGTGAGCAGGCGGGCTTTCCATCTGTGTTTTGATCTTAGGTTTGAGTGTTGCAGGAAGCGGTGGTTTTCTTTGTTTCCTTTTGTTCTAGATCTCCTTTGGGTTACGAGTTTGTTCCTTGATTTCTTGCAATGCATGTCATAGAAAAGTCAATCAGTATGTTGCCGAAACCTTGGATATTGTTGCGCCGTGAGAGGAGCTAGCTTGGAAGGACCCTGCTCCCAGTAATCATCATTCTGACGCACATGCCGAACACACTGAATGAAGACACCGTTACAGCGAGCAAATGTACATGAAGATGCCAACATGCGAAGTACGAGCAACAGCTCCACGACCATCGGTCCTAGCTGCGCCGAACCAGACGTTCGGGGGTGCGCCACACGGCCCGCTCGGTCTAACAGTCTAGCTCCATCCAGCCGCCGTTTGGCCCTTTCCACGATCCCGACATCCGTAATCATCTCGACAAGCGACACGGCCAAGCCATGGAGCTGACGACGTCTCTCCTCCTTTGCACGCCTTACTCTCCCCTCTTCAGACTAGACTCCTAGACACGAGACAAATACCAACTTCCATTCACTCCCTTGGAACTCTCTTATTGCTTTTCCTACCTTCTTGTCATCTCATACGTGGATGCATTGAGCGCGTTCTTCTAATCGATACCTGGCCCGACCGAGTCCCTGCATAACGCGAACGTAATACGAAATCCTACCACACGATCCGGCTACCCAATGCGCCCTTCCACGTTTCCCTAACTACGCGAAGACCCCCGAGAGAAGCGCACGCGACTGCGCCCACGTTGCTGCCACGGTGCAAGGACGAGGACAGTCCTAGGGGAAGATGCCGTCTGTTGCGCAATGGCAGGGCACACCCTCAGTCAAGGGCTCGACTGAGAGCATGCGCATGGCGTTGCTCACAGCCTCCCTCATCGGCTTGCAGTAAATCTCCGCTTCCCACGAGTTCTACTTGCACCCTGTACTAAACACCATGCAGGTTCACGTGGAATGTCGAAATGACATACTGCACACCCTACCTCCTCGAGCTTGGTCTCACGAAGTCGAAGATATCCCTCGTATGGGTTGCCGGTCCGCTCTCAGGTCTCATAATGCAACCTATCGTCGGTGTCGTCGCGGATCGGTCTACCTCTCGTTGGGGCCGCCGGAGACCGTTCATGTTCTTTGGTACGATCCTGGTGGCCATGTTCTTGCTGCTGCTGGGCTGGACGAAAGAGGTGGTTCGGTACTTTATAAAAGACGAGGCTGCGGCTAAGAGCGCAACGATATACGTGGCGGTGTTTAGTATATACGGTATTGATTTCGCTATCAATGCCGTGCAGGGGAGTTGCAGAGGCCTGGTCGTCGACACATTGCCGATTGCGAAACAGCAAATGGGCAGTAGTTGGGCGAGTAGAATGGTGGCGGTCGGAAGTCTGATTGGGTACGGGGCGGGAGCAATTGATCTGAAGAATGTGTTTGGACCTATGTTGGGGGATACACAGTTCAAGCAGTTGACGGGTGTTGCGGCGTTGACGCTCTGCTTGGCGATTGGGACAACGAGTTGGGCTGTCACCGAGAGAGTGCTCATTAATGATGGGGCGGAGGAGGGCAAGGAGCTGGATCTTAAGCAAGTTCTCGGTACTATCGCGCATACTGCTTTGAATCTGCCTAGAAGTATCCAGGCTATCTGCACAGTCCAGTTCTGGGCTTGGATTGGTATGTCATTATTATATTGTTTCTGTGATCAAGAGCTGACAGTGGCTAGGCTGGTTTCCTTTCCTCTTCTACAGCACCACGTGGGTTGGTGAAGTATACCTACGATACGACGCCCCAGCAGAAGTCAAAGCTGCGGGTGACCTCACAGGGAAGGTCGGCCGCATTGGTTCCATGGCCCTCATCGCCTTTTCCATCATTACATTCGTCATGTCTGTTCTCCTGCCTTTCTTCGTACAGAGCCCAGAAGAAGACGAAAAGGGTCCTGGCTTCTCTCGCCCACCTAAGCAGTTAACGGGACTGGCGAAATACAAACCAAGCCTGCTTACCGCGTGGACAACTGCGCATTGTATCTTTGCAGGAAGTATGGTCATGGCACCTTTTGTGAGAAGTTTGAGGCACGCAACCATCATCATCGCTTGCTGTGGCGTGTGAGTAACCACCATCACCACATCACTCATTGAACCCAAGCTGACAACACAGATCATGGTCCGTCGCCTGCTGGGCGCCCTTCGCCTTCCTCGGTGTAGAAATCAACCGCCTCAACACTTCCTCCTCGCACTCCGCCCACCCAAAGCGCACCTCTATCGACCTTCCCGAAGCGCAATCCAACCTCGAAAAGGGCAGCGCGCCTTCCTCCAGCGGCGGAGCAAGCTCAGGGCAATACCTCGGCATCATGAACCTGTATACCACGCTGCCTCAGTTCATGGGCACAGGGATATCGTGGGTAGTGTTTTCCATCCTGGAGCCCGGGAAAAGCCCGGAGCTGAGCGAGGCGCCGCCAGAGGAACACCACAAGACGGATGGCCCGAATGCGATTGCGGTTTGTCTGTTCATTGGGGCTTGTTCGGCGTGTATGGCCGTTGTGGCTACGAGGAGGTTGGGGAGGATACAGGGAAGACTGTAGAAGCATCATTGCCATGTCCATGTCAAAAGGTTCAGTTCTTGCTTGACGATTGCAACTGCCGGAAATAGTGTGCTTGCACAGGCCGCTAGTCGCCAGTAGAGAACATGACTCTTGGTGACATCCACCCCCAACATGCTGCCATCCGTGGTTGCCCAGGGGCGCTTTCCGCTTTTGAGTTTAGGCAAGCGCGATGGAGCCAGAGAGATTTTGCTAAGGGTTTGCTAAGGATTTTCCAGAGACCCGCTTTGTTCTAGAAGGCAGGTGTGGCTGCTAATCGAAGCTGACGCTGATCGGACGTGTGTAGAGATCGTATTCGCTCCAGGGCGGCCGTGGCGGTATACAGCACCTCAGTGTAAGTACGGTGTGCGCAATAGTTCAGTCGGGGCATTTTCCGGCCGGCTTTGGGCAGGTCGGAGGAAAAGGCTCGTCACGCAATGCAATGAAAAATATGCGCTCCCCATGTCCCCATGTCCGCTCTCCCAGTACCGGCGGGCAAGGTCGGCCGTGGCCACGGTGCAGAGCAGTCGACGTGGTAGACTACTGCGCGCACAAGCAAGTGAGGTATCACCGCCAGATAAACTTGAATCGCCCGTCTACAGTGTCGGAGAGATGCAAGGCAGGGCACACGTGCCACGCCTCTGCCCAAAAGACGGTCAGGGTACAAATAGACACGCCGCCCGCCTCTCCCTCGCGCACTGCATCTCTCCCCGTCCACGGCAGCGTCGATAGTCTTGGTGGTCGCAAAGGCTTTGTTTGTTGCCGTCTCGCAGTGTCCGGTTGGAATTCGCACTAGGCGTGACTAGTGCCGTAGAGGGGCGACCTTGCCTTGCCCAGCGCCTGTTCTTCTCGCTCAGCCCGCCGAACAATTCTGCGGCTCACCCACAACATCCACCTTTTGCACCCCAACTCGCCACTCGCAGTCCGACATCACTCATTTGCCAAGATGTCTGAGCCGATCCGCAATAAGAAGATGGACTCCATCTCCGCCCCGTAAGTCGCTTCCCTCCCCTCCGCCACACAATTTTGGCCTCGCCCAAACACCACCATCACACGCCCCCAACATGGACGTACCACATTCTAACGTGCGCCCTGCCAGCACCCCCCAGAACACACCCGCCAATGCTGCGCCCATATCGTCGCGCGCCCAGCAGCCCGGCGTCAGCAGCATCAAGGAAGGTACGTCGCACTCTGCCACGCTGCTGCCCCTCCAACCCCGCCTTGTATTCTCGTGAAGGCCTTGACCGCTAACTCGCTTTTTCGCAGAGGAACTAGAGCGCACTGCCGCCGGTCTCTTCGCTGCCAACCCCGCCCTCGTCGCCATGATGCAGAACAAGCTCGGCTCGCTCGTCGGCCGCTCCAGCGGCTACATTGAGTCGCTGCCTGCCTCGGTCCGCCGCCGTGTTGCCGGCCTCAAGGGCGTCCAGAAGGAGCACTCCAAGCTCGAGGCCGAGTTCCAAGAGGAGGTCCTGCAGCTCGAGAAGAAGTACTTCGCCAAGTTCACACCGCTATACCAGACCCGTGCCAAGATCGTCAACGGCGCCGAGGAGCCCTCAGAAGACCGCGTCAAGGTCGGCGAGCAAGTAGACGAGGACTACGAGGATGAGGACCAGCCCGAGGCTGAGCTCAACAAGGACGAGGGCAAGGACGTCAAGGGTATCCCAGAGTTCTGGCTCAGCGCCATGAAGAACCAGATCTCGCTCGCCGAGATGATCACAGACCGCGACGAGGCTGCTCTGAAGCACCTGACCGACATCCGCATGGAGTACCTCGACCGCCCCGGTTTCCGCCTCATCTTCGAATTCGAGGAGAACGAGTTCTTCACCAACAAGACCATCACCAAGACCTACTTCTACCAGGAGGAGAACGGCTACGGCGGCGACTTCATCTACGACCACGCCGAGGGTGACAAGGTTGACTGGAAGGCCGGCAAGGACCTGACCGTCCGCATCGAGAGCAAGAAGCAGAGGAACAAGAGTGAGCATCTTCACATCTGTCGGTATTTGACTAGCAACTAACTTTCTCAGACACCAAGCAGACCCGCGTCGTTAAGAAGACCGTGCCTACAGAGTCGTTCTTCAACTTCTTCGACCCACCCAAGCCCCCACAAGACGACGACGACGCCACCTCCGATATCGAGGAGCGTCTCGAACTCGACTACCAGCTCGGTGAGGACATCAAGGAGAAGCTTATCCCCCGCGCCATTGACTGGTTCACCGGCGAGGCTCTTCAGTACGAGAACATTGAGGACTTCGACGAGGGCGAGTTTGAAGACGAGGACGATGAGGACGAGGACGAGCTCAGCGATGACCGCGATGAGGAGGAGGAGTCAGACGACGAGGTAAGCAGTCCAAGTCACTCTACAGAATACAGCCATCTAACGCAGTATCAGAACGACGGCACAAAACCAAAGCAGGAGGCTGCTGAGTGCAAGCAGAGCTAAATGCTGCACCAAAAACTCTCGCATTCCCCAGATCACAATATCCCCAGTCGTTTTGAGCGGCATGTTCGGTCCAGGCTAGCCTCCCAGTCGCCTTCCATCACACTGAGATGTCTTTTAAATGACTCTCTGCGTCCGATATTTCACTTCACGATTTCTTACTCGGCGTAATACTGCATCAAAAGAGTTCAGGGGTGTTCGTTCGGCAATGGTTGGTTGGAGCTCTCTCTGGACTAGATATCTTAAGAACTACTCAGTTCTCCCCCTCCCCCTACCACTTCTTCCCGCCCCTCCAGACATTTGCTCGAATAGGCTACTGGATTCTTGCCACCAACGATCACTAGCATCTAAGGCGTTGTCTAGGTGGGGTTTTGCAGCATGTTTCCTTGGGTCAGGCATGTCATGTTTACGAGGTTTTTTAGACGGCGTAAATAGTCTTGAGCGCATGTCACGGGTCAATGAAAGAAAAGTTTGAAGCCTCACTTTTGGGTAGTAGTCAGCGTGACCTGTATGATTTAGATGTGATGCTCAACCTCGGTAGGATTATGCGATAACGGTCGCCTCACCTTGCTATGTAGCCTACCACGTCTCGCTTTCAAGAGCTGACGTATATGCTTTGCTTGTCTACATATCCTTGCACCCAGCGTCATACCTGAGATGTCGTGCGTGTGCTTGCCTTGGGGGCCCATGTCAAGATGCGTAGTGCGGGGTGGTGGGGGTTGTGCCGGGTGAAGTTCGGGCGTCGAAAAATAATTCTGGAATGCGACATCATCGGACGCGCCAGAGCGCTTGAACGCTACACCACACTATACCTCTCTCACACGTCAAACCCCTCTCCGACTACCGCGCAAGCGTATCCGGTATCTGAGAATTGAATTCACTCGGCTATCCTATACATCGCCGCCCGCGCAACCCCCGACACCCTACGCGATCTCTCCACGCGACCGACTCTGCGACGAGCCTCCTCAACACCATGGCGCGCCAAAATCCCAACATCGTTATTACGGGCACACCTGGAGTGGGAAAGACGACACATGCAGAGCAATTAGCGCAAGCAACAGGATTCCAGCACATCTCGGTGAACCAAATAGTAAAAGACGAAGGCTACCACGAGGGCAAAGATGAAGAAACAGGGAGTTGGATTGTAGACGAAGACAAAGTACGCATAGCCACTAGCCACCCCATCCCAGCCAAACCCTCCGAACCACACCACTAACCCCACCCCTTTAGCTGCTTGACCACCTAGAATCCCTCTCCCTCGCCGACAAAGGCGGCTACATCCTCGACTGGCACGCGTGCGACCTCTTCCCCGAGCGCTGGATCGACCTCGTCATCGTGCTGCGCTGCGACTCGACGTTACTATATGACCGTCTTACCGCGCGCGGCTACAAGGGGAAGAAGCTGGAGGAGAATATGGATAGTGAGATTATGCAGGTGTTGCTTGATGAGGCGAGGGAGAGTTATAAAGAGGAGATTGTGGTGGAGTTGAAGAGCGAGAGTAATGAGGATGTGGAGGGGAATTTGGAGAGGGTGGAGCGGTGGGTTGAGCAGTGGAGGAGGGATAGGCGGGAGGAGTAGGGGGTTGGGTGGAAGATGGGTGGGTGGGGACTGAGAATGGACGGATGGATGGGATATGTGTGATGCGTTATGTGTTATGATACCAATACGGCATTTATGGGATGATGATGGTGGGTGTGGTGGCTTCATGCACCGCCTGATACTCTCCATTGAGAAATATGAGCACAATGATGATTGTTGAGCTCTACGCCCCAGTCTTCTGACTCGCCAGCCATTCCTTCAACTTATCTAGCGCCTTCGCTCGATGGCTAATCTTGTTCTTCTCGCTCTTGTCCATTTCAGCGTATGTCTGACCTTCGTACTCAAAGCATGAGTCCCAACCTAAACACACGCTATTAGCCTCTTCCCATCTCCATTACACAACCCTCCAACACACTAGAAGGGAAAGGCGCGATTTGCTGACTTACCGAATACAGTAGATCCCCGACTTTCCACCAACTTTCCGTCGGTGCGGCCCTGGAAGAGGATGGCTTCGTGGCCGGGGCCTTCGCAATATCCGAATGTGCATACGGCTTGGGCGGATTTGTCGTCGAAGCCTGAGAGCATTTTGTGGAGGTTGGGGGCGCCGAGGGAGAGCATGAACCATTTGCTAAGGGTGGGGGAGGTTAGACGGACGAATTTTGGAGGAGAGAAAGAAGATGGGCAAGATTAGGTGGCTTGAGATAAGGGAGGATATGGGCGTACATGTAAGGGCCAGGCAGGTCATTCATGGCTTTGAAGCAGAGACATGTGTCTTCTACTAGGACGGGGCCTTGTACCTGTTATCAATCACATCGTCAGTACTTGTAGAAGACTTTCTCTTTGGTATCATGGCTTACGGCCTCGGCTGCTCTCCGTGCTTTGTCTTTTGTAACTTCCTCGACTGTGCCTTGGATTTCGACCAAGTCGACATTTTGGTTGCGGAGCTCAATTACGCCGGAGAGGATGGCTTGAACTTCCGCAAGCTTGTTTTTGTTGCCCGTTATGAAGTTTAGGGTGGTGGGGATGCGGGAGGATGCCATCTTTGTGAGTTTGGAAGTGGAGATTGGGAGGGCTTGAGTTTGATAAACTTTAGCAGACTTTGTCAGCTAAGACTTATCTCGCAACTATACACAAAGTCCTGTATATACCTATTGAAGTCCAATGCAGGATTGAATGACTAGAGCAGAATTAGTCATTTTGCAAATGGAAAGGGCGCTGATGGAAAGAGCGGTATCGTCTCGGCCGACAAAGGGCGTGCAATGCCACACTTCAGACCAGCTAGAGGGCTGAGCAACGTACATTGTCAGTGCTGATAACTAAGCACTCGTCTTACACCGCGATGTTGCAAAATCTCTGTCTAACGGCATCGTGATAGGGCTGAGGGGTCCTTCAATAAGCGAGCTAAGCAGGGATCAACGGTCTAGTGCCTGCATTGGATGCTACCGTGGCCTACAGAACATCACGTTCAGCCGCATCAAATCACACCCTGCAAGGTTCCCGAGTCCCTCAAAACGGTTATCGCCGTCTTTATCGACTGTTTGCGACTTCAAAGCCCTGAGCTCGCCGAGCAAGAGCCTCATGGGGTGAGGCTGGGGACATCATTCGATTCTTATTCACGACTTCACCGCGCCCGACACTCCCTCTGCAGTTGTCCGCACGACCTCACCGGACTCTGGACATTTTCCGTTTTCGTCATTCGGAGTAGAGTCATCGCCGAGCACGGCCCTGGACTGTTGGTTTCGTCACCGCCAGTATGGGTTCCCTCAGGACTCTGTTCCTGAGCGTGTATGCCTCGAACAGCGTTATAAGGACGTTGTTTCTGCCGTTATGCTACACCACACTATTCAGCCCGTTCATACTCGCTCTAGCCTGGTACTTTGGATTCGGTCAAACTTTGCAAAACTCTATACCTGAAGACTTTTCCTGGTTCGATCTGCTACCTGCATTTGCAATTTCAGCAGTCTTCGTGTTGCTACCGACTAGACTACTTTCAAGTCCAGGAACAGTTACCAAAAGCCAAGATGGGAAGAGACGGGTACAATCGCTGCCATACTGGATACCCGGGGTACGCCACCTCTCGAGCATCGCATTTGGAGGCGAGGAGTGGTTAGCCAGCATTCGGTAGGTGTGCTCACAGCGTACGTGGATTTATCTGACCCAAGACAGTGACTCTGCGACCGCAAGCATAGTGGCGTACAAAGCCGCTGGGACCAAACACAACGTCTTATTATCGGAACCCCTACTTGACCAGCTCTACAACAACTGGAATAACCTGGACCAAATAGACAACAACCAACCCGCTATCCTCCGAAACGCCTTCAGCCTACCGAAAGTCATGGAAAGTCATTATCTCGAGCTGCAAAATGAGATCAACCAGGTTGTCAAAACGGAATTGTACGACGAAGCAGCCAGAGACAACTTGATCAAAGCATCGCTGCGCATCTTGACCGAATCGCTTCCAGACCTCGTCACATTCAACTCATCGATTGTCGATCAAATGCAGTGGGAGCGTGTCTCAAACGTGGAACTTACAGACGGAACCTCGGAAGCCGAATGCGATCTCTTTACACTCCTCAATGAGTTCTGCTGCAATGCTATCCTACCCCCGATTGTCGGAGCGCAGTTTACAGAATCTTATCAACTCCTTGCCACCGATCTGGCGAGCTGCAATGAACGATTTTGGGCTCTCGCACTTGGATTGCCGCGACTAGCACCTATCCAGGGCTTACCGGGAGCAGCTCTAGCACGAAAGAGATTGCTTAGGAACTTTGCAAAGCAATTCGAAGACTTGTCGAATCCACCAGTGAGGAGGGTACCAGACGACGATGAGAGCGTGAGCGGAGAAGAAGATACCGACGCCGATGTAGTTACACCGCTCATGAAGCTGAACGAGCTCTTCACCAAGCATGAACTTCCAGCGGAACTACGAGCTTCGATCGGGCTTCACGTAGTTCACGATGTTTACTCAGAGGTCATGCCGATTGTGTTCTGGACGGTTGTACACATCTACTCATCATCTAAGGCGGAGGGTGCGAAGCCTTCACAAGATTCGCCTCTTGAGAGGATCAAAGCAGAATCCAAAGCATGGGCTCAAGCCATACAGCCCCCGTCGATACACCCATCTTTCCCAGCACCACCAGAGATACGCTACGGGTCAGTGAAGGAAGTGCTCACACCAACCTCGCTACCTTATCTTCGCTCATGCATCAACGAAGCTCGGCGACTATACAACTGCTCTATCAGCACATATAAAGTCCTCAGATCACTTCATCTGAAGGATGATACGGAGCAATGGGAGCTAGAAGCAGGCTCGTACGTCGACATGGGCCTCTCGCGATCTCTCATAAACTCATCACCAACACATCACATCTCACCACGAACCTTCAAGCCCGACCGTTTCGTGGATACTCCAGCGTCTTCATCCATCATTTTGGCCACCGATATCTCGCAGACCTACAAAACCAACCTCATCATCTCTATCGTGTCCGGCATCACCCAACTCTGGGAAATTTCACCTGCGCCAAAGAAGAGCTTCTTCGACCACATCCAAGAAGCAGGCAACGAAGCGTCATTCGGTGCCGAGGCGCCTACTGCAGAGCAAAAAGCCGCTAAAGAGGAAGCGAGCAGGGAGAAAGAAGATGCCAAGCGGAAGGACGCCAAGTGGGTGCTTCCCAAAGCGGTTGATGGAGCGGGAATAAAAGTTCCCAAGGGAGACATCCGGGTCAGGATACGGAGAAGGGAAGGGTTGCCTGCTAGCAAGGTTGTGCGGAGGATTGGTTAGCGTTGATACTGGGGCTTCACCGGAGCCAACGTGCGTGCATGACCAGCATCGGGGTGTAGATACTAGCCGCGTAATACACACATCGGTATCCAGAGAAGTCTATGGTATGGAAGGCTTTGCGGAGCCGCGATAGTATATGCCCGTGAGTATTGACCGTGGCACGGGCCGGTCAGACAACAACGACATGTATCGGACCGTGAAGTGCGTACAGTCAGAGCCGACAAGTAAGCACGCAAGCATCCAGGTAGCAACCACGACCCACGATCACCATCGACGATGAGAACCACTCTATCCCACACATGCAGCGCCTATGCAATCCACCTAGTCTGACACTCTCACCCCAGCCCAACCCAACATCTCCACCCACTACTCCACATCCCTCCCCAAACTCTCCACCCTCCCTAACCCAGCTACCCACGATCGATCCCGATGCCCATACTCTCGTACCTGCACGCGTTCGCTGTCGCGAAACAACGCTGGCTGACGTCTCCCCACCTCTCGTCAAAGTAGCGGTGAGGATATCGCGATGGTGAACCAACCTCGGAAACCTGAATCAGCAACCACGAACTTGTCCTCTTTCCCGCTTCCGCGCGGACTACGCGAGATACAAGACGGCGCAAGGCCACATCATCTCATAACGATCAGCGCGACCTTGGAGGTCGAGACGCTTCGATTTTGCGTCGTATGTAGGTCATTTGTATTGATTGTCGCATTGGCATTGGTGTTTTGCACACCGCAGAATTGAGGTTCGGAAAGGTCCGCTTCGGCGTGACACTGTTTATCAGAGTTTGGGTTGCAGATCGAAGTTTATGGGATGGGGATTGTGAGATGGTTAGGGGGGACATCGGAGGTTGTGGTTAGTCGGATGCTGATGTGCATGGTGGTCGGACGTGCAGGGTTCGCTGGCGAGTCGTCATCAGAACTCGCTTATTCGTTGTGACGTGCGAAGGCCCCACCCCACACAGGTGGAATCATTCTGATCGATTGCGAACCGCTGTAATTAGCCCTTCATCTGTGTACGGATATCTATTGTTTAGTTTTGCTACCCTTCATCAATCAGCACAAGATGCCCACAGCCTTCCTAGCTCAGTGGTAGAGCGCGTCACTAGTAACGCTAGACTCGGTTCGAGTCGAGCTAGTCCCGAAAGGGACGTCACGTGATGACGAGGTCGTCAGTTCAATTCTGGCGGAAGGCATTGCCTTATTTTTGCCAAAAAGATCTATTTTTTCGGGTTAGAATGCATGCGAAGAGCGCGTAGAAGTGGATGTGAAAGTGCGGAAAAGTGTGTGCGTCCACAGCGTGCGAAAGCCGCATCTTTCCAGATCTAGACGTATCCCCCCCACAACACCACCCACTCGCATTGCGCGTGAACGTGCTCACTCGAAGCCACGTCTCTTTTTACTTATGCTAACAGCAGGGTTGCGATCGTATACTTAAACAAAAGTTAAGTGTGTGCAGATCATGGTCGCGCGAAAGCCCCTTCTACGTTGCTCTTTCCAGATACCTCTGCACCCCACAACACTACTATCCTACACCAATACACTTGCATTGCGCATGAACATGCTCACTTGAAGCTACCTTCCTTTTTACTTATGCCAACAGCAGGGTTTCGATCGTGTACTCAAACGAAAGCGTCGGGCACAGGCTATTGTTGTGCGAAAGTCACTTCTGGGTCGCTCTTCCTAAACCTCGGGAATCTATACCTCTTTCTAACCTTACAATCGCACTAATCGACCTACTGCTACATGCTTGTACTACTCACAACGTATGTCCACTTGGACTCGCTACCTTCACGACGGCCCTTGCCTAGCAATACCCAATTCCAAGAGGGCAACAGCGCACGCACCATCGACATGAACACCATCGTCATAAGATCCCCTCTATCCTCGACAATCTCGCCTGACATCATTTCATCACAACAATGCCCAGTCACATCATTGCAGTACTGAATTGGAACTCATCAATGTCATTTCCATGATACTTTTCCCGCATGACCTGTTAACACCAGATGCGGATCGTACCCCATGCACGCCATCACTGCCGCGGGATCGCATCAAGGGCATGTTTATCTTTCATTGTAAACACAAACACCTTTGGAATGCCGATATCATGCCGCGGTAAGTTGAAAAGACCCAAGAACCCCTTGCCTATCCAACAAGACCTTATACCTCTTCAAGGACGGTCTCCTTGAACTCGCGCTCAACCTTCTGGCCAGAGTCGTCCTGGCTTGACTCGCCGTGGAGACCGAGGAGGGCACCAAGGTCGAACTTGGGCGCCTTCAGGAGCTTGACCTTTCGGACGTGGACCTGTGCCATGTTAGCCTGTCATCCTGCATTGTCCATGCAACCACATACGTTCTGGAGGGGGTAGATGCCCTGGGTGGCCTTCTCGATCTCGCGACCGATGACCTCGGGGATGAGCTTCTGGGTGAGCTGGGCGAGGGTGCACGAGCTGGCGTCGCGGGCCATGATCTCAACCATCTTCTTGCGGATGGCCCTGATCTGGGACGACTGGGCGTATGTGGTCTTCTTGACCTGGTTCGGTCGGCGCTTGGTGAAGGCGATGCAGAAGAGGCGGAGGAGGTAGTCGTCGGTGGTCTTGACAACGACGTTGGCCTCGATGAGGGTTTGCCACTTGCGGACGAGGGAGCGGAGCTTGTCGGAGGTGAAGTCGAGACCGTGGAAGTTGGTCAGGCAGTTCTTGCCCTGGACCTCGTCGACGCGGAGCTTGACCTTGCGGAAAGCGTGGTCCTCATCCTTCTGGAGATCGGCAAGCGAGACCTCGAATATCCGGCCCTTCAGAGCGTCGTTGGCGTTCTTGAGACCGGTGGTGCGGTTGACGAGGGTCTTTCCGACACTGCAGAGAGCGAAGAGTAAGCATAGAGTCCCCGTGTGGAGCAGCGGGAATTCTTACTCTCGGACGGCGAAAGTTCCTGGCGCCTTGATGTTGTACCAGTCCTTCTTCGCGAAGGTGTCGGTCTTCTTCTTGAGACCCTTCTTTCCCTTTGAAAGACGCTTGTTCTTGCCGACAGCCATGATTGCGAGTCTTGTTGTCGGTCGTGGAAGGGTGGTTGTCGCTGTCGATGTCGGAGACTGAGAACTCGCAAATTGGTGGTGTTCGAAATCGCTTAAGCGAGCCCAGTAGCGCCGCGCATCACGTGTGCCAAGCCCAAAATCGAGTGCGGCGCTCAGCAGCAACACCACTCCAGTGCACATCACGGGAAGATCAGCAGTGAATGGGTACAGAAGTAGGGTATGCTGATCGCGTTCGGATGCATTGCGGGCAACATAGCAGCGGTGATGCTGCACTTTGGGATCTCTCGAGTCGCCATCTGTGGCGCATGCGATACCTGCCTTTGCTGCACCATAATGGCTGTATAACAGCAGGAAGGCGCGGCAACTGCGAGATGCGCATGATATGACATGGTTGTCGCAATAGTTTGGGTAAAAGATGGTGTTGAAGCGACTCCATGACCACGCAACTCCAGTCTCGCGTCTCTACCTAGGTACGTCTGCGAAACCCACATCACCTGCATCACTTTGTTCACAAACTAACAATTTGCGCTGCCAAGTAATGTACATATGTTACATTGCTGCGGTTCTATCTACGCAGTTCATTCAGCTGTGGCGGACAGACTAACTACCCATCGCACACGCTAGCACCCCCATCCAAATTCCAGTTACATCTTCGCGTCTTCTCCAGCCACCGTCAGCAAACGTCATCAATGCGATCGTCATCGCAGACGAGTTACTGCGTCCAGCATCACGAAAAACATGGATATACATCCTGTAACAATTTCCTTCCTCCTCTTTACATCTCGACATTTATTGTCGCGACGTAGATCCGTTGGTCCGACCCATACCCATTACCGTTCCCCGTGACAATAGAGACGATGGCCAGATGTATGCCTTCCAACAGCGCAGTTTCCAGATTGGAGACCATCAGCTTGCGGCGACTTGATACAGATTGCTGTACAGTTGCTCATAGAAGAGAACGTGAGTCTGGTAGGTGTAGCGGTGGTATGGCTGGTGTTGTTGATAGAGACGTCTTTGTTGCATGACATCAAAGACTGATGCATGTCCGATCATGTCTTGACGTCAGATCGGTCTTGCTGACCATATGGGTTCTGGTTCTGGCAGAACTTCTCAAAGTCAGGAAAGCTGATGTAGCCATCTGAAAGAATGTTAGTCTCATGCTACTTCAATCTGACATGCTCAGTGCTTACCCTGCTGCCTGTATTGGCGGACGTAGCGGTCACTCTCGGTTCTTGACATGGAAGGCCTCTCAGAAGTGTAGGCCGGTTCCGACTGCAACCTCGATCGTGGAGTGAGCATCGGGCTTCCAGGTGGCGTCTCGCCTCGAGGTGTAGTAGGCGATGAAGCAACCTTGGCCAGGAGGATGGAGGCCTTGGTCGGGCTACCGGATGTTGACGTTCCAGAGTCCCGTCGAGAGGTTACAGGCACAAGTGTGGTGAGGCATGGCGAAGAAACCGTTGATGGTGTTAGAGGTGGCCGCCGGCTTGCTGAGCGAGATCGTGCAGGCGCCTCAGTAGGCAGCGAGAAGTAGTATCGTGGATGGCTAGACATGGCGAAGATGTGCGTCGATCGACAGAGAGCGAGTGTTAAAGTCGGAGAATTACTGCGGTATGGAATTGAAGAATGACGGAGGGCGGGAACGGGTAGTATGTATAATGGCGTCCAAATCGCCTAGACGCTATTCACCCCATACTACCGAATGCATGTATGTATAGTGACGCCTCTGCTCGTTCCAGGCACCCTGGTCGACGCCAGGTGCATCAGCAGCCCGGAGCTCCCCACTCGACATCGCTGGCCTTTCGGGCTAGTTATGCATGCCGAAGTGGGTACCGCCAGAAAACGTGGACGTTCTGAATTAGTCTGCTTGCAAGGGAGGTGTGCTGTCACGCTTTGACTCGCCCTGACTCGCCCCTGATGCACACAAGACCACCTCACCTCCATTTCTCTAGTCTGGTAGTCTGCTGCGAGCTGCTGCAGGTGTGAGTTGGCCACCGCCGACGATGCGGATGACAATCATGAAACACTTTGTCGCGATTTAGTCGACGATGGCAGCGTACCTCGAGAGCCAAATCGGAAAGGTCGATTTCGCCTTGGTTGCGCTTGCGGTGTGGCAGGTCATTCGCGTCGGCCGTTCCTGATTGGCATCGCGCTCCTCGATCCCAGGCCTCGCCGGAAGAGCGGGTGCACAGCCATAGCGGCGCCGTCGCATCCTCAAACCATGGCATCGGCGGATGCAAGCCGCACTCCCAATGAACATCCGTCATGGCTGCGCGGTGATGACACAGCCAGCGCTGCCCTGTTCTCCGCCCAGTTCCCGGCGAGCCTTCCTTGTTGTGTATCAGGAACGTTCGAGAGGGTCACACGTATGCTTATCCACAGCCTAATCTGTTATCGAGTCCAGACGTCGCTGCAGACCACCGTGCGGTTTGTGCGACGAGACAGGTACCGGACTGCAATGAGCCTCATTCATATCGGCCACTTTGTCGGTGACGACATTGTCTCAGCTGAGGGTTTCTATTTCTGCCGTGTCATGCAATGCGGATGACATCCCTTGTCATCGAAAGTCGAGAACGTCGTACTTGCAAGGGCATCCTTCCCCTACTTTCGTGCGATCCGGTTGGAGCATAAAGACACGCGAGAAGACCAACACTTTCGACACCGGTCGCTATTACATAGCCTTTCATAACTACCGATCGCGTGTTTCGATTTCGCATGTCACGTCGGTAGTGTCTTTCCGTGGCATCGCGGTTGAGGGGAAGCCACGTACTCGGCATTCTATCGCTTAGAGACTGCTACGATGCAGGTCATCAATCACCGCTTACGATGACCAAAAGCCGATTGTTCTTTCTGGAATTACTAATAAGGCAGTCCAGAAATGCAAGAGCTGTTGTTAGAGGCAGTAACTACGAGCGTCCCGAGATCTTCTCGGGACATTGTGAGATGCCTTCAGGGTTTGGTGGGATACATCCCTGGATAGGAACACATCCGCCCCTCCATCTCGTAACTCTGCAACCAGGCGAATACTATAACCCGTATCTCTATCCGGCAATACTTAGGGTGAGTTGTTCTGGAACGATGATTACCTCGCCTCGCTCCACCTCCGCGTCAGCTGCTCTCACATGTTGCCATGCCTTCCGTAAAGAGCGGGCAACGCTCCGATTTGACAGTCCTGCTCTCAACGCTGCATTCTCAGCTGGGCGCCTGATCCTGAAGGTTCAACAAAATATTGGTAAAGGACCATGTAAACTGTCTTTGGAAACACGATTACGGCCCTTCTTCTATATCTACGGGTCATCCGATAGGCAGGCCAAAGTTTCGCCCGTTTATCTCGAGAGGCTGATGCAAGAGCCGAAAGCTATCTAGCATTATGCCGTGCTGCCCAGTCCGTCATTGTGTACATACAATGTGGTTAGCCAAACCGACGTGCATGCTAGACATGGTTGGGCGTTTACTAAGTAATTACTTAGTAATTACTAAGTTACTAATTAGTAATTCTTAAATAGGCTTAGTACCTAGTAATTACTAATTAGTAATTACTAATTAGTAATTACTAAAAAAAAAAAATTAGTAATTACTAATTAGTATTACTTAGTAATTACTAATTAGTAAATTTAGATAAAAAGAAAGAAAAAGATATATATAAGAATAAGTATATATAAAAGAAAAGTAGTTATTTTAATATTATTATATATAATATATTAGTATTCTAAATTAATACTAAAGCTATAAATATATTATTTTAGCTAAATATAATAGATTTAATATATAATAAAGTAAAGATAAAAGTAAGTATAGTTTTCTTTATACTATCTAATATAGTAATAGTATTATAGTAATATAGTAGTAAAACTAGTAATATAATAAAGAGCTAAATAGCTATTTAACTTAAGAATTAGTATACTAAGTAAAGCTAGGTCTAGATAGTATTTAGATAAGTATAATAACTATATATATATATATATAATATAATTAACTATATTAAGTATTTATTCTAATAGAGATACTACTAGTCTCTTTACTATAGTAATAATAATATTAAGAGTTTATATAGCTTTTAAGTATACTATTATATTAAACTTAAGTAATTATAATACTTAGTAAACTAAATAAGTATTAATAGTAATAAATATTACTATATAAAAATAAAACTATAGTAAAATAAAATTCTACTTACTTATAGTTATAATTATATTAGTTAATACTTTAAGTATAATAACTAAATATATATATAATAATAAGATTATATATAATCTTAAGTATATTAATAGTTACTTAGTAGTTTTATTTAATTAAATTATAAAATAGTATAATATATAAAAAACGTAAGTAAGTATAATATAAAATAATACTATATAAAATAGTAAAATATAGTATAAAAAATAAAATTTAGTAAAATTTACTATAAAGTAGTATAACTTAGTAAAAAATAGTAAAGTTTAGTATAATATAGTATAATTTAGTAAAAAGTAATATAATTTAGTAAAAAGTAGTATAACTTAGTAAAAAGTAGTAAAGTTTAGTATAACTTAGTATAATCTAGTAAAAAGTAGTAAAGTTTAGTATAACTTAGTATAATTTAGTAAAAAGTAGTAAAGCTTAGTATAACTTAGTAAAGTTTAGTAAAAAGTAGTAAAGTTTAGTATAACTTAGTATAATTTAGTAAAAAGTAGTAAAGTTTAGTATAACTTAGTATAGTTTAGTAAAAAGTAGTAAAGCTTAGTATAACTTAGTATAATCTAGTAAAAAGTAGTAAAGTTTAGTATAACTTAGTATAGTTTAGTAAAAAGTAGTAAAGCTTAGTATAACTTAGTATAATCTAGTAAAAAGTAGTAAAGTTTAGTATAACTTAGTATAATTTAGTAAAAAGTAGTAAAGCTTAGTATAACTTAGTATAGTCTAGTAAAAAGTAGTAAAGTTTAGTATAACTTAGTATAGTTTAGTAAAAAGTAGTAAAGTTTAGTATAACTTAGTATAGTTTAGTAAAAAGTAGTAAAGCTTAG